CATCGCGTGTTTCAGGCTTTGGGCTCTTTTGGAGGCGGAGGCTGAAGTTTCAGGGTTTGGGCTTTAGGGTAGGGTCGGGGGTTTAGGTGTGGGGGGCTGGGGTTTAGGGGTCGAGGGTTCAGGGCTTAGGATTTCGGTTAGGGTCTGAGGCTTAGGGCTTTGGGCATGATCTCAACGAAGCTTGTGCTACTTAGCTTTTGCATATGATGATCCGCAGCCCGATGTTGTACGAGCAAACAATCAGGATGAACCCAGCCTGAACCTTCAAGCAGACAATTGACTCTACTTGGGATCAGCGAATCCGGAATCCCTGCACAGTTTTGATGGGTGGTTCGGAATTTACAGGGTTCAGACGGTTTGGGTACACCCAAACCATAGCCGTAAACTCTCAAGCCAGAACCAAACCACAAGTTCCAAACTTCCGCAAACCCTCACGGACCTTTCGGACCACTTTCTGTTGTGGCCGTGGCCTGCACTGGATGTCGGTGGATGGGCTGTTGGGTGCTCGGTCTCGACACGCATGGCAGTGGGACTCTACCAGCTGCAAACTGTACTCTGAACACCCACAATGGTGGCTCAGGCGCCATCAGAGCACACAACAAGCCCCACAACTGCAGTCGCTTTAACACTCTGCACGAACTTACACCGTTTGCCTCGTCGCATCCCATCCTTCCTCAATGCCAGAGCCCTCAGCCCAAAGGAGAGCAGAAAATACGTAATAGAATGATCTTAATAATTAGAATAGGGTTTCGGGACCCATTATATTATACAAACAACATGGAACCAACAAAATGGTATAGGTAATTATTAAGGCCCCTATAGTAAACTCAAAATACCAAAACACACCCACAGGCAACCCGGCCGCTTCAGCACGAAGTCCTGCATCCACACCTGATATTCTCGAAGGCAACAAGAGAAGCTGACTTTAAAGAGGGCAGAGTGAACATTCACAGTGCACAGTTTCCGGATGCCTGCAAGCTATAGAACAGACATGTCTGTGTCGTGCATATGTATTGTATTTACTTTGACCCTCTGACTAAACGTGCATGCACGCATACATTCGGCTCTTTAGGTTGAGCCATGTACGTATATAGCTACACACAAACACTTGTACTCATATACGAATATGACGATGCAAATGATGGCAGCTGCCGAATATACCAACGTCAAGCAATGGCGCAGCGACATACTATAGGGCCTTTGTGATTAGAACTTGGGTTTGGGCCCATTATACTATAACGATAACAAGAAACCCAAAAGTAATATTGGTAATTATGTAAATTCGTGGTTAAGGGTTTAGTGGTTTCGGGGTTCGGGGGTAAGCTCAGGCTTGAGTGCTGGCTCTTGGTGATCAAGTTGGCAACTGCGAAGAGTTTTGGAGCCCGAATCACCAAAACTCTGAACTCCAAACCCTAAACTCGTATTTTTACGAGTATGTGCTTGGCTCTCATGGAGGTGTGTTTGACTTGACAGACGCATATTGGAAGTAGTGTATGCGATTTCATGCCAATGTTCTTGTCTAATGCTTAGCAAGCTCTACATTTACTTTAACACAAAAACCTGTTCGTTTGCAAGCACAAGATTTACGCACTTCGACGTGGAGACTTTCTACACCGTGCTTGCCCACGTTTACACAATTTGGCTGCCCCCATGCAAGAATCAATCTGTCTGTCTGTCTGTTCGTCTGTCTAAAGTTGTCTAAATCTATCTATCTATAAGCCTTCCGATCTGTGCACGCTTCTGCACCCTAGACCCTGACCCCATCCACCCTATCAGCCACCGCGCCTTCGTGTCCGGGGAGAGATCTGGGAAGCCTCGCGCTGCGGGCTGAAAACTTCTCGGTTGAGGCTTCTTAAGCCTTGGAGCTTCGAGGTTTCGGGCTAGAGGTCTACTTGGAGGATCATGGGACTTAGTAAGCAGGGTTATAAGTACCCTAAGTGGGGTTATAAAGTAGTTATAAGTATAGTTACCTTAATTATAACCCTAGTTACTAAGTCCCACGATCCTCTAAGTAAGCCCTCAACCCTGGCCCATCCCTAAACCCTAAACCATGAAGCCCTAAACCCAAACCCCTGAACCCTTGAATCCCAAACCCTAAACCCTGAAGCCTAAACCCCAACCCCTAAACCCAAACCCCTGAACCCTACTTAGAGGATCGTGGGACGTAGTAACTAGGGTCATAATTAAGGTAACTATACTTATAAGTATTTATAACCCCACTTAGGGTACTTATAACCCTACTTACTAAGTTACATGATCCTCCAAGTAAACCCTAAACCCTAAACCCTATAGATCCCTTTAAGGAGCCCTTTAAGGAACCCTACTTACTAAGTTACATGATCCTCCAAGTAGGGTTTTAGTGGACTTGGGGTCTCCCGGGCTTTCGGGGATTCAGAGTTTCGAAACTTCGGAGCTTCCGGGCTGTCGGGTTTCGATGTTGAGACATATTTGCTTAAGTGTCTAAACATTTATTTCTTTACTTGCTACGCATATATATATATATATATATATATATGTATATGTATATATATATATATATATGTATATGTATATGTATATGTATATGTATATGTATACACATATATGTATATGTCTTTGTTTGCCGATTTCTTTATTTATATGCATATGTAGCTGTTGAGTTCTGTCCCACCTTTGCGCTGGGATGTCTTAGGCAACACTCGAACTAGACTGGCGGCGTCGAGTCAGTGGTCGGTATAGTCAGCAGTGTGACGGTTAATTTCTGTGATGTCGTGATGACACAGTGTCGCGGTGCCAACAGTGTAAACTGCTTTCGCATGACTGTTGAGCTTGCTATGTGCGTCATTTGGATAAGACCAGCATGTCTGACTTCAAGCGCTGTTGCCAGCTGCAGTCTTAGCCGAGCTCGACCGCTGCTACTTCGGTGCAGTCTCAGCGATTGTCTCTTTGTCAGCCAGTCTAAGAATACTGCTTGACTGGAAAGTTTCGATGCTATTAGTGTGCGATTCGTCGTCCTGCAGTTGGTCATGTTCTTCTCGTGTAAGTTAAATGCACACTTTGAGGAAACGTTACGTCCGATACTCAAAACTTTTGCCACAGCCAGCACGTCCAGAACAATGAGTTTCCATACCAACACACCCTGACACCCCTTTGCTCAGTTCATGTGCCCAAAGAAGTTCACACTTTCAGTTCAGGATAAAGCTCTCCCTAAACGCACGAAGTGTAGTCTTCCAGCTACTAAGTCCCTCACCCCAAACCTTAAACCTTAAACCCTAAACCCTAAACCCTTCTCCGGGCGCCTTGATCCTCGGAATACTCCGTCCATCGCTCCACTGACTCCTGGTCGCCGGCCTGGCTGTTTTTATTCTGTTGCGAGGCTATAAGAGGCAAAGTTACCCTTGCGTCTCATAAGTTCTCGTAACACAGAGAAGGAATGAAGAACAGTGAAAGGGTACATGTATGTATGTGTGTTTACTCATGTATGTATGTCTGTTATATGTGTGTGTGTGATGTTATACATATATACATATATATATATATATGTGTGTGACTAGAGGGTGATTCTGTTTTGGAGCTCGTACCTCGGCTTCTGCCGGATGTAGGGCTCCTGCCGTGTGGGGCTTTCGGCCTCTGCGTCCTGCTGCCACCAGAGGATATACGATAGTATACTGGCGAATATTCTAGTATACGGTAGTATACTGAATATTATTGTACGATTTTGGACGATTTTGCTACAGATATGTATTCTGGCATATATGAGTATATCAGAAGGATCACAGCGGGCTCCGTCAGTCAAGCCTTATCAAAGCAGCGCAGGGCGGAGACCATCATGGCTTCCCAGGTACTCCTGTGCTTCTTCAAATGACAGAGCACATGAGCATAAAGACATCTGTTCGAACCTTCTGCACAACCCGGCATGTCGGGGCTTATGTGCATATAGACATGCATGCTTGCATGCAAAGGATAATCTCAGTTGTCCGTACGTATGCACACTGTGTTATGTGTATTGCCGATATGCGACTCTGTAACAAGCTACATCTTGGTACCGCAAAACTGCCCTTGTCCCAACATGTCTCACCTTTCGGCAAGACGCCGCGCACACACACACATACGTGTACAGATTCTATATATAGCTGCACGAAAGCACAGCAGTTGGAACGTGCGAGAATCTGTAATTGGTACACAGCAGCATATGCGAGCATGATAACATTGACAAGGCATACTGGCACAAAAGACAGTCTCTTGATCTTCAGACGAAACCATCGTCAAAAGGAGATGAGCTACACAGCAACGGATGGGCTCACAAAGTAAGTAACGGCCACGTTCTGGTGCAATCATGCTGAAATGCGCACAGTGTCATGGATTATAACCAAGTGTGCGTGCGTTTCGCAGGACATCCAATGCCATAACACACGAGCACGCACCAGCACATCATCAGAACGAAGCATGCCACAATGCAGTTGGAATCTCAGAAGACTCAAACGCTAGGACAATACATTGAATAACATGCGCTGCACAAACAAAATACTTCTACAGAAATCTGGACCGAACCCGAACCCTGCCCCCTCCGTGTCTCCTGTCTATCTTGCTAGTCATCCTTCGGGTGGACATCTCCTCCAGGAACCTCCGCACAGTTCCGGGGTCGAGGAAGGCGCTTAGCTTGAAACCGCATTTCTGCCGTTTAGGTTGAGGACTGATGTAGCTACACACGGCTCGTCTACAGGGAAGCAATCCGGCTTCAAGTTTCAGGTCGTGGTGACGGCTGGGGTGGAATCTGCGGCTGTGTAGCGGTGATGGCTGTGGTTGGGGTTTGCAGGTTGCTGATGACGGCTTGCTGGTCGTTTATTGCTTTTCACTGGTTGCTGTCTGTCGGCCACCTGTGCTCGCTGGTCACCTGTTGTTTGTTTGAGGTCGTTGAAAGTGTGCTGCCTTATAGGTTGCTTTTTGCTACTGGTTGCAATCACAGCTGCTCTTGGCATCTTGGTATCTTGAACGACCGAGTGCCCGTCTCGCTGGTCTCTTCAGCGCGCCCGGCGACGGCCGCTCCCCGAATCATTGCGGCATAGATAGGGAAGGTGGGCCTGAGACTGTCTGGCCATGGTGAATTGAGGCGTCAGGGGATAATACTATACATTATGTTATATCGTATTATGTTATTATCTTATATATATATATATAAAGTATATGATATATATATATATATATATATATATATGATATGTTTAAAAGCCGTCCCCATCTGAAGCATCTCGAGCTTAAGGTCTGCTTACCTTTGGTTAGTAGGGAATGGAAGAATGGTAGTAATAGTGGCTATAATTGTACCCCATTCCTCCATTCCCTACTAACCAAAGGTAAGTCTGCCCACCCCCCCTGAAGACATCCCCGAAAGCCTGAAATGGTACTGCATTTGGCATCGTAGCAAGGCGCCATCGACCACTGAGCCGGCTGCTTCACGTCCATGCTGAGCATTTCCTTGAACCTGTCCAAATGCCCCGGAGGAGCTGCGACTTCACATCGTTCTGGCAACGGGAACAGAAACAATTCTATGTGCTGAGGTCCACATGTGCTGAAGGTGCTAAGTCTTGAGTGTTATCGCCCAAATCGAGACAGCAACGCATACCATACGCATAACACCGATCCGACGATGTGAAAACTGGGAGGGGTTGAAATTCGCTGTTCGCCCGAAAATGCTAGGAAGGCCAGCTTTCGAACTGAGGAAGGCCACCTTAAGCGCAGGAACTAGTTTAGGGTTTAGGGTTTAGGGTTTGGACAAGAGCCCTCCCTTCCACTATCCCTATTGTTCAAACTCTAAACCTTCGAAACCTCGGAGGGACCCGAGAAACTCCTTTTGACTGTCCTACCGCCCCTCGTAACCTCCTATACATCCCGAAGCAAAAACCGGGCGAGCCGATTCAGCTCAGCGCTGCCCCAAAGCTCTGAGTCGGTACAATTGGACCCTGAAAAGCACCTCCGCCCCATTTTGAAATTTAGACGGTAAGAAAGACCCTTCAGGATTCACTCAAATCTGGGGTTTAGGGGTTTAGGGGTTTAGGGTTCCTGAAGCACACCGACTTTTTGTCGGATTCTCTTTAGGCTTTAGGGTTTTGTGAGGGTTCTGGGTGGAGATGTTCTCATAACTAACAGTCTACTTCTACGTAGGCTGCTTGGATGTTCATGTAGGTACAGTAAGTTTGGGGTCTTCATAATATGTCCTCGCAACTGTATGTGACTGATAAGAACTAAGTCTGGCAGAGGTCCTTACACCCATATCGCATGTAGTCAAGCCCCTATAGTTGACCTCGGGCGCTGGATTCAGTCTTATGGGTGTGCGGCTTACACAACCGCTTCAAGAATGCGAAGACAAGGCATGCTAGATCTCCCATCACTTGTTCAAGACCGAGAAACACGTGTAATTCTGTAATATCTTGAAATCTGTGAAACCACGCATAGGTACAAGCTAGCTACTCAAGGTCCTAAAGCCGAATTCCTTTTGTGTCCGTCGCGCTTCGGCTGCAAGGCCGCAGACAGCCCTGATCCCCAATCCCTAAGCCACACAAGCCCTAAAACCCCTACAGTAGAAGCCAGAAGGTTGGAACATCAATATCCCCATGCCCTTAAGGCAAAGTATAAGGGATCCTAACACTAATCCTCCTAAATCCATGTTCCGACTTTCTGGCTTCTACTATAAGCCATGTACAGCTTTGAGCTTTTATGTTTCATCTTTTCGAGGACGCAGGTATCCCTGAGGGTCCAAAGTACCTCATATTGAGGTGCTTGGTTTGGGATATTAGTAGCAAACAGGGTTGCAGAATCGTAGCATCTAGGATATACTGGGCTACAGGGGATGCGCATATCTTTGCTGCTTGCTTTGTTCCTTAGGGCCATGCTGGGTTCAAAGAATTGTTTTTGATTCGGGTTTCAGCAAGTTTCATAATGAACTTACTAAACACCCATTGCAAACCACATGAGGCCTACAATCGCCCTAATCACCCGGTTGCAGCGCCAAAGCCAATGCAAAAAGCCCTCGTCGAAACCCTAAAGGCTAAACCCTTCAAAAAACTAATACAGGGGCCCACTATACAATAACTATAATAAGGAACCCCCAAAATAGTACTGGTATTTATTAAGCCCATGTAGTATGAAGTTTTCGAGGCTCTGACCAGGCCCGCGCGCGGTCGAAGTCGAGGCGCCGAGCCTTCGCACACGACTGAAAGTGTACGAGAGAGAGAGAGAATAAGAATGAGAATGAGAATGAGTATGAGTGTGACAATGGACAGAAACAAAGACAGAGAGAGAGAGAGAGGGGGAGCTAGATGGGTAGATTGGCGGGCCCAAGGGCATATGTGCTTTGCCTGAATGGCCGTCTTCTGGATCTCTCTGTGTCTTCGTTATACATATGTATGTGCATTTATACATTTAGATATACAAGCAAGCGTGCATGCATGCCTGCATGTATGCATCTAAACGTGTATACAACTACGTGAATGCAGCTGCTCATTCATCTACATGTACATAGACAAAGGTATGCACAATGTCTGTATGCATATGTATATGCGTACGCCTATATGCATATGTCATGGACATGCACGTGTCCTCATACATACGTGCACACAGGCATATGCCTGCATATATCCAAATGCGTATATACATACACACACATATATATATATATATAATCATATGCGTAGACGTATGTGTATACGCATAAATACATTTACAACTACGTATGCAATCTAAGATATGCAAATAAATATGTGTATTTATATATATATATATACACACACATGCATATTCATCTATTGGGAATGAAACCGATACACATACACTTAAACAATGCCAGATGTGTGTCGACTTACGCTACGTCTGATATTTCGTATGTATATACAGAGCTGTATATGTATATATCTTTGTGTGTATAAGCCTCTAGATACACAACTGTCGATCTGCGGGTAATCTTTCTTGTCCTGTGTGTTTCTCACCATTTTCGTTGGTGGAGCCGTTCGTCCGTTGATGTTTATATCTGTGTCCGTGGGTTTAATTTATCCGTTTGTGTGTGTGCACATATCTATATATATATATATATACATGTGTATAGAGCTGCGTTGCAAGGAGTTGCCTCGCTTGTTGCACACGCCTGCCCGAATTTGTGCATGTAGCTCAGTGTACATAGGCATTTTTATGCCTGCATCCTAAGAAGGCGAAGCATGATTGACACATGATCAACATGCCTGAAGCAAACGTCAATGAAGCCCAAATCCCAAGCCCTGAACCCTAAGCTCCCAACTCCGTTAAGCTTAGTCGCAAGTTGCTTTAAAATAGAAATGGGAATAATCAGTGGAGATTCCAGTGGAGATATCTCCTCGCCGTGCTTATACCGTTTGTGTGCAAATTGCCCGACAAACCCTATTCTTGTTGGTAGTTAAGGCTCCTATAGTAGACAGAGTCCCGGGCGTGGCATTGGATGAGGAAGAGGAATGTCCTGAACTTCGTAGATGGTGGTGCCGTGTGGGCTATATCAAGACTGTACAGGGTGTTATTGCAGGGGCTCTATTGCGGCTTTGTAAGGATGCAGTGTTCTAGGATGTGGGGTTTAGGCCAAGGTGTAGCTGTCAGGGAATTTGCGGCTTGGGCACCGGGGACACGGGGTGTGCGGCTTCTCAGACAAGCGTCTCAGAGTTGCAAAAGTCTCTGCGACCTCACACCCTGCATCCGACACTCGGACCTCTAAATCCTCAAAGCCCCCACTTCCAAGCCCCGGGCCCTGCGCCCCAGAAACCCCATAATCCGAAAGCGACAGCCCTAAACCCCAGTTTGAAGCACTGCAGAATTGGGGACTCGCGCTTCTCATTCGGATACCTCCCAGCCACCGTGAGCCTGGCAGGGTGTAGAACTGAGGGGTTCATGGCTCCGAGCTGAGGACTCCGGCTCGGGGCTCAGAAAGTTGCAGCTTGAAGGTTTGAGGCTTGGGGTCGGGGTTTTCGGCTTTCTTAGGGCCTACTATGGTTTTCGGCTTTCCACTCTAAGCCTTGACGTTTTGTGTTTTTGATTGCAGAATGGGGTGTACTCGAACCTGCAAGGCTTACACCGCTGCTAGCGTTTAGCGGCCTTGAGGGGTTTTGGATGTAGACTTGCAGCAAGATGCACAACGCGACAACCTGAACCTGAACCTCAAGCCGCAAGCCCAGCCCCTGAAGCCTGAAACTTATCCTATAGCATACTGTAGGATACGATGATATAGTATCGTATAGTACAATACAAACTGCGAGCCGGAAGCCAAAGGCCTCCGCGCCCGATTCCCTTATTGAACCAGGCATAGCCATCATAGGGTTTAGGGTTTAGAGGAAGCGTTGCAGAACACATCCCGAACTCTGAACTCTAAACCATTAGAACCTTTCCCAAAAGCCAATGTCATTAGCCCAAATCTTTGCCTCTTGTACATTTCCTCGGCCGAGGCCGCATCACCAGCTTCGGCGAAAGCTCTGATGGCCTCTGGGAAGAACTCGGGAAAATTGTTGAATAGGCTTAGGGCATGAGTCTGCTCATGAAGGTTCTCGCTTAGGGCTCAATGGCTTAAGCGGTGGGTGTGGTACTTCGGGGTTCAGAATAGTCCTAACTAATGAAGGCCCTGAGTGGGGGCTTATTCCATCTTTCACCTTCCTACTTGTCAAGTCTCTGAGCCTTGAGAGCTGGGGCATTGGGATTGGACTATGCGGACCTGGGCGGAGCTCCGGGTTCAGCGTGTCAGTTCCGCTGCTTCGGGTTTGGGGTCTGGTTCCTTATTATAATTGTAGTATGATGAGCCCCAAAACCCTATGCTAATTCTTAAGGCCAGCATATTCGGATGTTGGGATTTGGCTTTGGGATCTCTGAGCATCCCGCGATGTTGTAGGATCCGGCATTGGGAGTCAGCCCCTCCAACACGGCCCAGTCGAGAATTTGCCTCAGACCCGCGGCACCAGAATGACTCAGGTTTAGGGTTGAGGGTTTAGGGGTTTAGGGTTCAAGTCCAAACTCTGAAGCCCTGGACCCGCAACTCCCCTTTAGTCCGGATGCCCTGCGCTGAAGGGGCGCATGGAGCCCAGGGGCCGCAAGCCTAAACTTACCTTTGGTTAGTAGGGAATGGAAGAAAGGTAGTAATAGTACTTATAATTGTACCCCATTCCTCCATTCCCTACTAACCCAAGGTAAGTAAACAGAAGGGTGGAGACGACAGTCTCCTGGATCGCTCTGCTCGTGGACCCTGCAGTATCAGCTGTAGGCTAAAGATAGAAGGATAGGAAGAAAGATTGATGGATAGATAGGTATACAGAGAGATAGATAGATAGATGAGTAGATTTGTACTTTCCGGTTCAAGCAGCGTATACGTCTGCTCATTTCTTTGCTGCTGTACCTACTAAGGCACATGCATGATCCTGCTGTCCTGTCTCACTATTGTTGTTGTGGCTATTCCCCTGAACCCTAAACCCTAAACCCCACATGGGAGTTTCCGAAAAAACGGGGGGCCCTAATATAGTACTCTAAATAGCAGGATCCTTATTATAAGGACCCCAAAAGAATAAGGTACCCCTACTTTTCGAAAACTCCCAAACCCTTAAATCCTAAAGCCTATAGTGTCCTTACAGACCCATTGTACACCTCTTTAAAGGACCCCTTCAAAGGGAACCCTATTCTAATTAAGGCCACATGGGTTCAGGGCCGAGGCCCTGGCCGGACGCCGGCCGGATCCTTCGCCCGGGCATAGCCCTGCATCAGCGCCGAGTAGGCCGACATGTGGGGTCCTTGGGAGCAGCGCCGTGAGATGCTCGGCATTTTGGGCTGGAGGTGCTGCGAGTGGCAAAAATTTAAAAAGCAAGCTGACGGGGCTTTGTAGAATTTGTATGACAGGTGCTACTTGAGTGGTTTGCGCTTTGGGTTTGGAAGTCAATTCCAGGGGTGAGGCCTGCTTTGGGTACCCCCAAGACATTAGATCAACAGCATCCGAAGCTCGCTATCATACAGACACCATAAACTCTAGATCCAAGCCCTCGAATCCGCTTGAAACAAAGACAAGTGGCATAAGCTTTCCTGTTTTCTAGCCTCTCCCTGCAATCTGCCCCGATGACTGTATGCTCTGCATGCGAAGAAAGGCATCAGAAAAAATCCTCAACTCGAAGCCACACAAGGATCGCAATGGCACCCTCCAAACCCGGCAGAATTTGGTCATACCTTTGTAGGGCTTCGGGTCTCAGAAAGAACACGGCAGCAAAATGTCTACATCGCTCTACGACCCCCAGTAAACAAAAAGGCTGAGAGGCAGACTGATGCCGGTGGCTGCAAGCTTGGAAAGCCACTGGCCGGCCTCGTCCTCCGCTGTTCTCTGCAGCTGGGGGCTTCCAGATTTTAGGCCCGGGCATTACATTTACAGCCAGAGAACATTAGTAGCAGTGGAAGTTGCGGTAATCACCGCAATGGTCCTCGTCGTCGTCGTCGCTTCGTCGTGTTCGTCTTCTTCGTAGTCCTCGTCGTCGTTCGTCGTCGTCATCGTGGCGGCAGCAGCAGCAGGAGGAGGAGCTACTGTTATTGCCTTTGGCGTAGTCATAGGGGTAGCATGGTAGCAGCATCAGCGGCAGCACGTGTGCAGCAGCTGCTGCTGTCGCAGTTGGCAATGACAATGCTCCAAGGGTGCCCCATCGCCCGAACGAATCTTACGACTTGAGAGGCAGTTGCTTGGACCCTTCTTAGTTTGGGAGTTTTTGAGAATTTGGAAATCTTGAGCTCTCAGGCCCTAAACCCTAAACTAAACCCTTCTGGGTGACCAGCCGTATGGTTGGCTCCCGCGTAGGCCGCGATCATCTGGGTGTAGGTCTCCTCAAGGGGTCTACGGCTAAGGCCGATAAATATATATATATATATATATCATATATCATATACCATATACCATATATCATGTATTACATGTTGGCTGAATTCTAATCATATATATATATATATATATATATATATATATATATTCATATATATATATATATATATATATATATTCATATATATATATACACTATGCGACTACGACTCCGTGTATTGCTTGCATACTCACAATGATGTCACATACCAGTTTCGGGGTTCAGCGTTTGGGCTTGGATATCCTTCCATTCTGGAATTCTTTGACCAAGATCGCAACTTGAACCCTCCGGAAGATCTGGTTTCAAACAATCCTGCACAGCTGCAGTTTCAACGAGAACTTCGCTGATATCAGAAGATGGCAATCAAAGCAATGAACCTGCCTAATTCAGACGGAAAACCCTCACGGGCCCTGCCTCTGTTGCAGAGATGCCAGCTTCAAGCATCCTGCGGGGAATTGATCACCCTGCGTTCTTGCCTGGAGTTTGTGGATATAGCTCTGTAATTAAACATGACAGTCAAGCGGGAACTGGCCAACAGCTTTTGCAAGAGCTTACTCAGAGGATCATGGGACTTAATTAGTAACCAGGGTTATAACTAGGGTAACTATACTTATAATTGCTTATGACCCCACTTAGGGTACTTATGACCTTACTTACTAAGTCCCATGATCCTTCAAGCATACCTCTACTTAACAGCCGATGCGCGCCTGTCGAACCAAGACCGTGCCGCCAGAGCGCCCTTCCCGCTGCGCAGGGAGGCGAAGTAGCGGATCGCGGCACTGAGCGGACAGCTCAAGGATCCGAAACACCCGGAGGAAATCCCCAAACCCTTAAAGCTCTGAACCCTAACACCTCTGAACCCTAAACCCTAAACCCCCCTAACACCTCTGAACCCTAAACCCTAGACCCCCCCAAAACCCTAAACCCTAAACCCCCCCAACACCTTTGAACTCTAGACCCTAAACCCCCCTAACACCTCTGAACCCTAAACCCGAAACCCCCCTAAAACCCTAAACCCCTAAACCCTAAGCCCCAAACCCTAAACCACGGCTCAAAGCCGTCGAGCTCAGGAAGAGGATCGGAGCCCCTACATCCCGACCCCGTGCCCCTGATCCCGAAGCTCGAAACCCACACTTGAGACCCCACTATTTTGTTACAGAATACTATAGTGTGTAATGTAACGTGTTACAACCTGTGTGATATATCCTAACATGAGATTAGGTAACATACGGTAACATAACATAGCATGATGCAATATAGTGCACTAGTACAATAGAGTGGTCTACTACAGCATGTCATGCAATACTATATCATACTCTACCATACCATATTGGATTACATTATACCATGTTATATCCATGTTGTACTACATTGCGGTACGTTCGATTACAATGTATTCTGCTGTATTCTTGTATGTTATACTACAACGAAGGCAAACTATACTATATGCTATCCTTCACTATAGTCTACTATACTATATTATGTTAAGTCATATTACATTGTGTTATACTGCGTTAAGGCAATTCCTATCATGGTATTTTGTCTTAAAGTAAACGATATTATAATGTATTACAGTGGTGTCATATATACATATATATAGCGAAAAAGAAAGTGTATACATATATGATAGGATATGTTATGATATGATACGATGTGATGCGATGTTATATGGTTTCATATGATGTGATATGATATCATGTTTCCACTACATCAGATTACATATTGCAGTACCTTCTGTGATGCTAAACAGTATCTTATGCTACAGTATCGTGTATTACAGTGCTGATATGCTAGCAGTTAGTATGGTTTAATATTATATCATATTATTTTACGCTATACTGCACTATAGTTATTATGCCCCCAGATCCTTCCAAGCTTGATCAAGTGGCTTGTAGCTCTCAGCCGATGCCGACACGCCCTCCTCCTCCATTTTTTCGAGCCATTGTCCGACCTGCCCAAGCGGGGTCAGGGTTTAGGGTTTAGGGTTTAGGGTTTAGGAGACCTGGGCTTCGAGCCTCAGAGGTTTAGGGTTGGGGGTATCGGTTTGTGGTGCTTGGGGATTTGGGGCTTTGGGGCTTAAAGGTTTGGGGTTCCGGATTCAGGGTTTGTAGCATTCAGGGTTCGGAGACCACAGCTAGAAGATGAGATGAAAAGAGCTAGCCAAAAAAAGAACCTTCGCTGAAAGCCGGAGCCTCTGCGGGGAGTTGCGCAGTTGATCTCAGAGAAGTAGAGTTTTGGGGGGCCCATAATTTTAGAAATATACGAAGGAAACCCAAAGCAATTATTCAGGCCCTGGGACAAGAAACTGTCTCCAAGGCGCACTGACATCACGGCAACATTGCATCAGGCGCTGTTAGTCAGAGCCAGCATCGCAGGCCTTCCTTGGCGATGTCCTCACCAGACAGCACAGCGCGCAGCAGATCTGCAAAGCCAAAATACCTAGCTGTCCCCTAAACCCCTACCCCCAAGCCCTCCACCGCTTCAGAGTCTCAACCGCTCCTGATGAACTCCAAGTAGATGCTCTCGTCTGGGGTGGTGCCGTTTCCCTTCATCCACTGGAGCCACAGCCTTTGGCAGCACAAGGGGCCGTTGAATCTTTTCCGACAGAGCTACAGTATAGCATGCGCTGAACCGATATCCTGCCTAGACTGCGGTGCCAATGCATACTCCGTCATATGTACTGGTATTGATAAACATGGCAAGTGCATTGGAACGAACTTTCTGGAAAAACAAAGCATATAATATAGTTACCATATCTAGGAGCATGAACGTGAAGCATGGCTCTACTGAGGAGCTACACATGTTCTAAACCGAACGCCAGCTGGGTTTTTATCAGATGGCAGAAGCAACAAGCGGAATACCAAAAGCAGCAGCGGCAGCAGGAGTAAAAGCAAGAGTAGGAGCTGGAGCACGAGCGAGAGTGGGTAATTGTAGCTTGTGTCGCTGACTCTTGAATACTCCTCGGGTGCGGGCTGTGCTGCATCCATGTTCTTTTCATTCAAGAAAGCCTGGATCACCTCAGCCAACCGATCTGGACTGTGAAAGACGCGAAAGGACTGCAAATGCAGTGTTGCAATTGCTATGAATGTTGTCGACTCCCCTTGCAGCTACTACTGCATGTAACATCATCAACACTACCACGACAGTAGCGACACGACCACAACGACGACTGCGCTTATGACGAACTACCCCTGGCTTCTCAGCTCCAAGCCGACTTGTAAGCCTGGAAGCTCGGCCTGTAGCCCGCTTCGAGGGAGAGAGCGACCTGCTGCGTCTTCTTTCAAGCCTTAACTTTAGGGTTTAGGGTTTAGGGCCTGGAGGGGAAGAGGGGACGACACTCGCCAGACGTCACGAGGCTCGTGAGCATGCTGCAAGGTTTTTGGGCCCCCTCTTGTCGGTCCGCCTTAAACTTTGAAACGCGCTTGGGAGGAGCGTGGCCCTGCGAGCTCGCTGCCGACTCCACCTGAGAATGCTCCCGAACGGTCTCAGAGACCCCAAGGTGCTCCAAAGCTCCCTGAGCTCCCTGAGCTCCCCGAGCTCCGGTAGCTTCGGGAGCTCCGGGACTCGGATAGGACTTCGATCGCCTCTCCGAGGACTCCATGAGCCTAAAGAGATCGGCAGGGCTCGGGGCCTGGGCTTTCGGGGCCCCTTTGGGGAGCAGGTCGAAGTTCATCGGCTCTCCAGCTTTCGCCTCTGCGTCCGCGTAGGACTCCACGATCCGGTCGAGCTCGGAGAGTTCGTCTTCGTAGGAGTCGCCGGGAGCCTCGGCCGGGCCGTCGGAGCCCTCCTCCATCTGCTCAAGCTCACGGAGCCGCGAGAGGGTGGAGTCGGATCCGCGGTCCCGCGCCGCCGGGTTCTGCCAAAACTTCCAAGCGTCCTCTTCTGCGGATTCTGCACCGGAAGACTCCTTGGGAAGCGCCGGCTCGGGCTCCAAGGGCTCGCGGATGTCCAGGAAGCCATTCTCGTCCACGCGGATGCTGCTACCCGCCGGACCCGAGCCCGAATTCGCAGATTCCGCCTCGGACTCTCCGCCTGCGAGACGCCGCCGCAGCGAGAGCTCCTGGAGCTCGCGGTCGGCGCTCGTCTGCTCGTCCTGGAGGCGCCGAAGCCGGCGATCGACCATCTTTAAGGCATTGCCGGTGGTGCGCAGGGCGAAGTACTCGGAGGACAGCCTCAGCCCCAAAGACCCAAAGCTCTACGTGTCAAAAACACAAAAAAAGCACTTCCAAAAAAAAAGCCGAGCCAGTCCCGGCTCGAAGCCCGAATCCTAGAGTCCTAGGGCCTCACGAAACTTCGCCCCTCTTTTTCCGCCGCGTGGCTGGCAGAGGACCTCGTTGGTATGCACCAGCTGCCCTGGAAAGCTGGCCATGGGCCCAAAAGGCACCATCACCGGGTGGGACACCTTCAAGGGTTCCTAAAAAAGGGGACTATAAGGGCTACTATCAGGGATTTAAAGGGTTCCTCAAAAAGGGGCTATAAGGGCTACGATAAGGGATTTAAAGGGTTCCTTAAAAGGGGACTATAAGGGTTACTATAAGGGCTACTACAAGGGATTTAAGGACCTTAAAGGGGACTGCTTAAGGGCTCATGGGACTTAGTAAGTAAGGTTATCAGTAGGTTAATCAAGATAACCCCACTTGGACTTATAACCCCAATTAGAACCTATACTTGCTAAGTCCCATGATCCTCTAAGTGTAAGGGTTACAATAAGGATTACTATAAGGGATTTAGGGATATAGGGGCCTACAGAACTGTCTGGTTCTTCGTAGGGAATGGGGGAATGGACAAGGAGACTATTATTGGGGATTCTACAGGGGCTACTACAGTTTACTCTAGGGATCCATTCCCCCATTCTGTACTAAGAACCAGGGAGCCTTGTCGGGGAGCTCTGCCAGCACGCCACGCAGCTCCCGATATTCGCGGCTGCGTTCGGAGATGGCCTCGGCATTCTGCCGGGCCTGGGCCAGCTGTGCATCGAGGCGCCGCAGCGCCGAAGTGAAGACCTCCCGGCGGACCCTCACCGTGCCACCGCCATCGCCAGCGCCACCACTGGCCATGATGTCGGACCCCAGATTTGATTTTTTTTAGAAACTGCAACTTGCTTCAGTCCTGCGTCTCAGAAGATCCAAGAGTTATCAGCAAGAACATGTGAAAAGTCGGACGTCATCTTTGCCACGGGACCCCTGATGAGCCATGAACTGCGCTCGGGGCCTACCGCCTTCGATTCAGCACAGCCTCCGCTCCTTGCTGAAGCCCAGAGATGTCCCTACTGTCCTCATTTTATCACCATGGTATGATACAATAGGACAAATGTTTGAGAATATAATAGAGACAGTATCTCAATTTTTCTTATGTCCTATAATGGCTGTCCGCACAAGAGCCCTGCGCACCCATTCGGCAGCGTAATCGGCCGAGATGGTTGCACTGCTGGCACTGGCTTTGATCACCTGCCAGACGAGGTGGTCACTGGCGACTTCCCTCAAAACTACTTAGCACCGCTCCAACGTGGCTCTGTGTGCATGTACACGTCTAGCAGTCCTGCACAAGTTGTGCTAGCAGGGAAAAGCTATTCTCGCATCGCTGCAAGGAGTTTTTGTCGGCGGTGGTAGTGTTGTGCGTTGATGTGCCTCTGCCTGCGAATACCAGTAGGGGATCTTAAAGCCAAAACATGGCACATGTGCAGATGCAAGTGCGTGCATGAAACCTGTGAGTGCGCGCAGGTATGGGTGTAGGATGGTGTAGGTGTGGCTGTGCGCGCGCGTGCGCCTCTGTGTCTGCGTGTGCATGCATATATACAGCACTAGATCAGATGTTGCCTTCGCATGATAAGGAAGCTCCCACCAAAAATGCAGGCGCTGCCTCGTTGAACTGGATCCCTCTTGCAGAAAGGCCTTGGAGCAACTTCGTTTCACAATAACCGTCTCTGAATGTCAGCCAGAAGTATCCGAGAGCATCAAGCAGTCGCAGCCCGTGAAAAATGCAAAAATCATACCTTATTCTCGCACTCATCAAAAACGGCCGCAGTGCCACCTAACCCGCGAGTGCGCAGCCGGCTTTCTTCATCTGCCGGAACCAGACGATCGCGAGCTTAGGCTTTCCGGCCTCTAGCAGCTGGGCTGCAAAGGGCTTAGGGTTTAGGGCTTACAGGGTTTTATAGGGGTTTGTAGGGTTTTTTTAGGGCTTATGGAGCTTATAGGGCTTGTAGGGTTTACAGGGCTTATTGGGCTTATAGGGTTTAGGGTTCAGGGTTGAGGGCTGAGGGCCGGTCTCTAGAGGTGTGTTTTTGGGTTTCAAGGCCTTGAGGCCCCTCAGACCTTGGGGTTTGTGGAGTTTCGGGATGCCCTGCCTTGGCGCAGGCCTTGATGACGTGGTTGTAGGACGTGGCGTCGGGTTTGGCACCCTGTCAGGGCCGCTGTTGCGCTGCAACAGCCGCAACGGAATGAAACGGGACGGCCTTTTTGATGTTGATCATGCGATTGAGGATCTTCTGCGCATTATCGGCATCTTTGGCCACCTCACATGCCTGCCGGTGGCGCCCTCTGAGTCAAAATCTCTCAGATGGATTCAGGTCCTGCGGGATCTGCACCGTGTCGCGCGCCTTCAGTACGGAGTTCCAGTTGTTGGTGCCCGGCCCCTTGTGCGCTTTGCGCATCTTTGTCAGCCTCAACTCCAGACTCGAGCCTGAAAGGCGACATGGCGGAGGAGCCCTCTGAGACCCGCGCCACAGCTCCGCACGCTTCACGTTGCCATACTTGGCCGGCACCTGAGACGAGGTAGAGGAGCTATGCAACAAGACGTTTTATGGTGACTTCCGAGGCTGGCGCCCCGATGAGCACGTTGTAAACGTCTCTGTCAGGCTTCTTCTTCAGCCCGGCGAGGCGCTTGAGCCTCAGCACCGGAGACTCCGACTCCGTCATCTTCTTATAATAGGGACCCTAATGTAGTACCCTAAATAGTAGGATCCTTATTATAAGGACCCCAAATAAGGTACCCATATCTTATTGCCCATAATATTGCGGCAGGTTCGGCTGAGGTCGGGCACCAGAAATCCTCCCAGAAGTCCTGCAGCTCTGCGTCCCGCCTCGACTGCGCGGCCTCGCTGTTCAGGGTTTAGGGTTTGGGGTTTAGGGGTTTAGGGTTCAGGTACCATCGTCATAAGGAATATTCGGAATGTTGCGGCCCGATTGCCTCCAAAACGGCTTCGTAGCACCTGGACAGTACTGCGACGCGACGCAAGAGCTTTGCTTGCCGTTCGACTTGTATGCTGAGAGTAACGCTGCCAATTGGGCTCAAAGCCGCTGTCGATCATCCTGCGGCAGAGCTTCGCAACGATGACACGGTCACAAAAGGCATGTCCGACAAGGCTAAGACTCCTCTCCATCCATTGGGACAGCACTTCTACCTGTCATGGTTTGTGACTTCGGCCCGTGGCGTCCCCTTTGTGCAAACAGGCTGGCTGCGCATCTCTGGCCTTACCAGGCAGCAGTTCTGACAAGTCTGTCTACTCAGGGCTTGGGATTTGGGGGTTCGGGGGCTCAAGGCTGCTTGGGAAGACTTTGCAAGCGGACTCTCAAACGTTGCCGAGCATGGCACCGGCGCAAGGGCCAAGATGACGTGCACAAACGCCCTTGGGCCGCCAGGAGCGAAAACAGGCACCACTCGCTCAAGCTTGCAACTTTGCGCTTCCACCATGCTAAATCTTGCTCTCTTGTGACCGATTGTTGAACTTGCGATGATCATCAGCATGACATGACCATCATCATCAACAACATCATTATAGCCATCAAACTGTCATCACTACCATCAGCAGCAGCAAGTAGCACCACCATGACCACCATCACGATCCTTTGCCACGGATACCCTGATGGGCAGACGTAGCTTCAGGTAGGTGGAACAACAAGAACACAGGCAGCGTAAAAGCAAGAGGCACAACGTCAGAAAGGAGATCTGCCGGACAGCTCGGGCACCGACGCGCTTGTCAATTTGACATCTGCCTGCGGCTGGTCATGATGCAAGCGATTGTCGTACGAATATCAACAAAAGAAAGCATGAGAGACGTATGCGCAACAAACCACTATCCGAAATTGTTGATGCTCGAAAAAATAGCGATTACCATCAGAATCATGGCAGTGGCAACGCACTGGTAACGATGATGCCCCCCTCGTCATCCATAGCATGATTATTGCGAGTAACCTTGCATAGGTTTTCCTCCCCTATGATGATTAAAGCAGGTTTGCCATGCTTTCGGATCGATCTGGCTCTGGAAATCTAGGGAGGAGCCACGCAGTGTTGGCTTTTTTGCCTTTCAAGGTCCGGGGCCTTGGGGTTCTCTTGCCTTGGCGCGTTGATTTTTTCTTTTCTTTCAAGGGCCTTTTTCGTCGCCTTGGTTTAGGGTTTAGGGCTTAAGGCCTGCATTGAGCCCTGGAAGCGCGGAGAAAGACACGGGCGTGCTATGCACGATGGCACTCGAAGGCTTAAGCCTCGCAATTACCACATCGGAAACCCGGAAACTCCAAGCATTCAAGCTTACATAATCCAACGATCTCCCCACCTCAGCACCTGAAACCGAAAAACCCTGACCCCATGACTCCAAACCTGAACCTCACAGCCGAAGCCCAAAACTCCAAGACTCCAATAATGCTCCTTAGGGTTCCTCATTATGATTGCACTATCATATCCTAAAAACTCGACTCGAATCATTGCGGGCCCAAACCTCCCCTAGACCCTAAACCCCAAACCCTAAACCAACTCCCAAGTGCTTCAGAGCCACGGAGACCATCTGGTTGAAGTGGGCGATCGCCTTTTCGGGCTCCTTGGCCTGCACTTTTTGGCCGGTTGAAGGCGCTACTTAAAGGCTCATGGGTCTTAGTACGTAAGGTTATAAGTAGGTTATAATTAGGATAACCCCACTTAGGGGGGACTTATAACCCCAATTACAACCTACTTACTAAGTCCCATGATCCTCTAAGTAGGCAGGTTTCAGGGGTCTCGGGGATGTAAGGTTTAGGGTTAAGGGTTTAAGGACTTATAGGGTTCAAGGACTTAGGGTTCAAGGACTTAGGGTTCAAGGACTTAGGGTTTAAGGACTTAGGGTTTAAGGACTTAGGGTTCAAGGACTTAGGGTTTAGGGTCTAAGAAATTAGGGTGACTGGGTTTAGGGTTTGTTTTGATGTGGACCTGTTTCCTCCTCACCGAGGGCCTGTCAGGCTTACAACCCAACGCGATCAGGACAGAGGCTTTCACACCCAGCTCAAAACCATAATACTAATCATATTGGCAATAAGGCAATAACCATCATCATAATCCTAGTCATCATTATAATAGTAACAGTGCCCATACCAATAATGATAGCTAATGATAGTAGTGACAGTGATGATTATATGGAGCCCTCAGGATCAGTTCACCACTGGCTCGAACATGTCATGATAAGGAACTAGTTGCAATACAGTAAATGTAAAGCTCACGAAGGCTAAACCTCATGAAACCTCCGAAAGCTTCAGCTTCAAGTGAGTGATAATATATGCAGCTGGTCGCTTTATGCAGTCGGCGAAAGTTCACGAAAGAAGCTATCATATGCCAATTTCCCCTCTGCACTTTCGCCGATGAGTCATGATAATCGCCGCTACATCTATATGGAGGATGCCTCGGCCCACTGTTCGTGAAGAAGGTGGTGGCTGGCGTTGCTATTACGGTGTCTACCTACACCTGAAGCGAAACCTGTCCAGCCTCCCCAACCCGAGCCTCAGGGGTCTCTCTCTGTTACGACTCCACTACAGCGAGAAGCCGAGAAAGCCCGTGGTCTCGGGGCTCATAGCTTGTGTACTCTTTACGATTCACGGTTTAGGGTTTTGAGGTTTAGCGGAAATCAACCGCAAAGCCTTTTGTCCGATGCCTTCCGGGACGCCTCGATCAGCAGGACCTCAGGGAAGGGCAGGATCCGTCATGAGACCGCCTTGCTGCCTTCCGGCTTTGCGTGTCTCACGAGAGGCATCAAATGCCAAGGACCTCCCTAATCGACCAACGATCTAGCAGGAGGGTTTAGGATTTCTGACTGTGGTCTTTTTGGAGGCGCGGGCTTCCCTTTGAGGACACCAGGAGTCTAAGGCCAGAGCATAGAGCGCTGCGTCCGGCGTGAAGCCGTCCTCCCGCCTGGCAGCTGCCCGGGTCTGGTAAATGCAGTATCCTCTACTTAAAGGCTCATGGGACTTAGTAAGTAAGACTATCAGTAGGTTGTAATCAGGATAACCCCACTTAGGGGACTTATAACCCCAGTTATAACCTACTTACTAAGTCCCGTGATCCTCTAAGTAGTTCTTGTGCCTTCCGTAAAATTGCACACGACCGGACATCTGACCTGGTGCGCGCTTGCTACCTGGCATGGACATGCCAGGTAGGCAGCTGCTGAGACCATCCTTCTGCCATCTCCACGTTCCCAACCTCGGTTCACCGACTCTGCTGCAGTCAGCCATAGTTTGAAATGTTTTTTGAATTTCGATACAAGAGACTATCATATACTACAGGATGCTATACTAGACTGTCAAAACTTGACGCACAGCGCCGCGGCCGGGTGCCGCGCAGTTGCGGCGAGGTTCACCATATCTTTGTACATCGGGTAGCTCGGCTGCACACCAAGCGCTGGCAAGCTGCTCATGAGCCTCCACAAGAAATCATGTAGTATACTATAGTACATTATAGTATGTATAGTATAGTCTCGATAATCTAGTACGGTACATTATAGTATGTGAAAGTCCTTTATGTATTGGGCTGCAATATAGTACAGTATGTTTATTAAACTGCCAGATATGAGAGTATTTTATTGTAAATGATGGCCTCTTGGAGCATATTCAAGCGTATTCTCATGTACTACAGTTACTGCAGTACATGAATTATTAAAGTATACCATAGTTTAGCATTGCATTTTATAGCATATTGTAGGATGGCGAATGGCATAAGGTACCCTAAACCGCAACCACACACGCTTCGGCGACGAAGCTCCTCGTCGCACCTGCCAGGTCCTTCGCTCCGTTCAAACCTCAGAAAGAAAGACTCCGAGATCCATTAAATGAAGGATATAGAGTTAAGAGTATGGAATTTCGGGTTTTGGAGTGTAGGGAGGATCCCGAGCACACTTGACGAAGGAATTGTGGAGTCCTCATCAGGAGGATGTAAGGGCTTTCAGAATTTCAAGGCTTTGAGGTGTCGGGGTGTACGGGTGACGTCGGGACCCAAGGCCGTGACTGAACAAGACGTTCTTGCACGTCTTCATCAGAGGCTTCCCTGCTTCGAAGAGGGACCTGCCAAACGAAGGCAAATGCTGTCTAGAGGTTTAGCCTTTGAGGCATGGGTGCCAGACCCGTCAACTCGAGGCTTAAAGGCTTTCAACGCACGGGCTTCGACGGGGATGAGCTCTGCAAGGTGTCGATTGAAGTACCAGTCTTGATCATGGCAGAAGCAGTTTCCGAAAAGAAGTGTGGTGGTGGTGTGTGGCTAGTACCAGTAGTAGTAGCAGTTGTCATCGTAGCAGTAGTAGCAGTAGCAGCAGGAGGGGAGAGTAGCACAAGTAGTAATAGTGTTTGCAGCGGTGGTAGTAGTAGCGGTGGCAGTAGCATCACAGCAGCAGCACTTGTCGCCGTGGTGCGAGTACCATACGTGTACTGGGAAGCGGAGGAGGAGGAGGAGGAGGAGGAGCGGCAGCAGCAGCAGCAGTTGTTGCCGTGGTACTAGTAGTAACACCACACGAAGAAAACGAGACATGATTCTGTGCAGGGCAATCTTGATGGATGGACATCTCGGACCTCGATTGTCCTAATCATAACGCCAGCAGGGACAACAAGGATCGCAAAATTCTGACAGAAAGAACTCAAATGAGATAAGACGAGTAGAAGAAAGGAAACTGCTGGTACTGGATCAGGATAGCAGATAGCACACAGCCACAGTTATATTGGCATGGTAAGCACAAAAGCAATTGCGCTCGTAACTCGTGCAGTAGTCACAGTAGCACTAGCTACAGCAACATACAACAACAACAACAGCAGCATAATCAAAACAAAAAAACTAATGCTGAGAACCGTCAACAAGACAAAAGCAAGAGGGATAACAAGAGAAACTATAGAGAGCGATTCAATCAACGTGATCTTTGTGGGCGTCATCGTGGTCATCAACGCCGTTATCGACGCAGCGAGCCTGGACTCCACACCCAAAAACCTCGGAGAAGTCTGAGACCCGAACTTCATCGCCCCCTCAATGTTGCCAGCGGCCAGGTGGCTCTGGACCAGGAAGTCGTACGTCGACCTCAGCGTCATCGTTAGGAATCCGGGGAGACGAGCACGGGGCTTCAGAGGGCTGATACACCGACAGAATGTTGGTTGTCCTACTATTCTGATGGTCTTTGTTGACAGTTCATTCCTGGCATGTTGAATCTTGAGGCATTCTTGTCGGAAAGCACGCGCATAGTCTTCTCTATCACTCCTCCTCCTCCGACCACCACTACTACTGCTACTACTAGTACTAGTTACTAGCACTAGTACTGGTACTAGTACTAGAACTAGTACCAGTAGTACTACAACTACTACTACGACTACTACGACTACTACTACTACTACTACTACTACTACTACTACTACTACTACTACTACTACTACTACTACTACGACTACGACTACTACTACTACTACACTACTACTACTACTGCCACTTGCCACTGCCACTGCCACTGCCTGCTTACTGCTACTGCTACTGCTACTGCTACTGCTGCTGCTGATGCTGCGGCTGCTGCTGCTGCTGCTACTGCTACTGCTGCTACTACTGCGACTACTGCGACTGCGACTGCGACTGCGACTGCGACGCGACTGCGACTGCGACTGCGACTGCGACTGCGACTGCGACTGCGACTGCGACTGCGACTGCGACTGCGACTGCGACTGCGACTGCGACTGCGACTGCGACTGCGACTACGACTGCGACTACGACTACGACTACGACTACGACTACGACTACGACTACGACTACGACTACTACTGCTGCTACGACTACGACTTCGACTACGACTACGACGACTACGACTACGACTACGACTACCACTACTACTACTTACTACCACTACTGCCAAGGCTACTGCTGCTACTGCTACTGCTACTGCTACTGGTACTGGTAAGACCACCACCACCACCGCCACGACAACAACTGCTCCTGCTCCTGGGACTACGACTGCGACTCCTGCTGCTACTGCTGCTACTGCTACGAGGAGGGTGAGGAGCACAACGAAGGGGACGCTGGGACGACGAGCATCACCACTGCGTCTTATACTGGCAGCACTTTCCTGTGCCGGATTGCTGGTTGGAGAGCCGCCACCCAACGCGTTTCGTGTCAGAATCAGGCGCCTTTCTACAGGTTTGCTCCTTGGGGATCAGCGATGGCAGGGTCCGGATATTGGGCCTCAGCGGAAGCATCCGTGTTAGACCCAGTTTTGCCTCTCAACCGAGCAGCGGGCAGCCTTTTCCGAGAAGCATTCACAAAGAGCCCCGTCTAGGGTGGAGGGAGGCTGTTCCTCCCGACTAGGGTCCAATATAGGAGCCACACTCATTGCAAGTGCTGCTTCCCCATCCCCATATGATCTCAGCTCAGGGCTCCTACATTGGTACATAAGAGGCAAGTCAAACTCAAGTGCCTTGACTGTCCCATTCGGGCCTACAAGGCTAGCATGGCCAGAAGGCACACATTAACTGGAAAAGAACTTACCTTTGGTTAGTAGGGAATGGAAGAATGGTAGCAATAGTAGCTATAATTGCACACCATTCCTTCATTCCCCACTAACCAAAGGTAAGAGAAAGCTCCACCTCCACCGCAGGATTTGCAAGATGGTTCGGAAGCATGGCTCTTCTGCGATCGGAAGCTCCAACAACAAACTGGGAGTTCCCGAAAAATAGGGGACCCTAATATGGTACCCTAAATAGTAGGATCCTTACTATAAGGACCCCAAAAGAAGGTACCCCTAGTTTTCGGAAACTCCCAACTGCCTGCAAGGTAGGCACAGGCTTTACAGAACGTCGGCGGTGCCATGTTCATGACACCTCAGCTGATGCATTGCACGTCACACATACAAGCCAGCTGTGTGCACCATGACGAACCATGAGCTGCCATGGAGCTCGTTGTTCTTCTGCATCGCGACGGAAATTTTCTCCGCCGGACACTCGGCCTTGTGCGATGCAGGATACAGTTCACACTTAGGGACCGCAGGAAAACGCTGAAGTTTTCGCCACTGCTGCAATGGCAAGTCAACTTGCAGCTGTCAGAACCCATGTCTACTGAACCCTTGCTGCAACTACCTTCCTGCCCTTCTCTAGTGAGTGTGCTAGGCTCTTCCAGAAATCCAACAGGCTTCGGGCTTGGGCTTTAGGGTGTCCAAACACTAAACCATCCTCCTTTTCGGCCAAACGTCCTGGCCGCCCACATGCCACAGAGCAGTCTCTGACGCATCGGGACTGGGAGGAATCTCCGTCCAGTTGGAGAACTTGTCCACCCCTGGGAATGTTCGGGGGCTTCCGGGTCTCCCCTTGTGGGGTTCTCGGGGTTTCTGGATTGGGGCTTCCCTTCCCTTTTCGGCTTGCGCTCGCGAGAGCTCTAGGATTCCGATTGGCCCGTCCTGCCCTCAGATTCGACCCCAACTCTGGAGTCCAGACTGCGCGCGCTATCCAACCTCTTAAATCTCTGCACAACCTGCAAACTCCACGAGAAGGGCAGGTCGTAGATGCTGCCGGCTTGCGGTGCTTCCTCATGATCTTCATCCAGACTGCCCTCACCAATGCAAAGCTCACTTCGGGTCTTCCCAACACGAAGCTCTACATCCATTCCCCTTAGTTAAAATCCCCACCTCACCTGCTTTGATGGTTCCACTTCCTGGCTAGGGCTTTATGGGGCGCCTGCCCCGCCACGTTGTGGGCTTCGGGCTACGGCCAGAAGGAGTCTCGCGCTGCACAAAGGTAGGGAAGATACTTGGAGGGTTCAGACGTATGTTATGCCACACTTATCACACGCCCTGACCCTTGGAGATCCTTGAAGTGGGGGGCGTCGGATGTGGTTTCGGGCTGGGGAGTTCTACAGGTCTAAGCCGAAACCTCGCGGTTCGGGGCTGGGTCCTTCGGCCCTAAAGACCTCTGAGGGATCAGAAGGCTCAGGCTGCTCTGATGCTCGTTCTCCAGATGCAGGCCAGGCACTCACTGGGGCACGTCGGCCTCCGCAAGGTCGAAGCTAATGCGGATGGGGGGGATTCTTTTCAAGGGTCTTATTGGTAAGGATCCTATATGCTGCTGCTGCCTGCACTAGTACCTTTTTCTGGAAACTCCGATAATCTATACCTTGATACAGCACCCTGAACACGATAACGAGTTGCTCCATGCAAGGCCTTCAGAGCTTTGAGCCTGTGGGGCTGTATACCGAAAGATACTCCATCGCAGGGACGGGTCCGGAAAAGCCACTTCCTGCATCTTCAACAGGCCGGGCTTGCTAAACCCATCTACTCGTTGCATACTTCTGGGCCTCTGCGACTGTATACTGTCTCTCCTGGCTGCACATGTCTTGCTTCTTGCCTGGAAAAAACAGCTGATTTGTGGAACTCCATGGTGATCGCAAAACTTTGTCGGATTCAAAACTGCAATCTCTCGGGTCAACCTAACCTTCACAAGCAAGCCCCAAACCCGCTCCGGTAGGTCACAACCAGCGACGACTGCCGCAGCTGGCTTGGATGAGCATGCACATAGATGTAGAAACATCTTGGACCCTGCGAAGTCAGATGCAGAAAACCCCGAACTCTAGTGCTAGTGCGAGTGCTCCTGTGCTCTCTACCCTAAGCCCGAGAGGGCGAAACCCCTCGAAGCCCAAAAAAATCTCCAAAAGGCATCTAACAAGGCAAAAAAAAACCCGAAACCCTAAACCCTCAAAGGTCGCCTGTGGTGCTTGTCCTCCAAGGCGTGGACTTCGGAGGGTGTGAAGTTGCACTCAGCCACCTCTGAAGGGCTTGCGTCCTGGGCGCAAGGCTTTAGGATGGCCTTCAGGATGTGCACGTTGAGGTTCAGGGTGTTCAAACTTCAGGGCTTTTGGTTTAGGGCTGCTGCTTCTCTCAGTGCCAACCGGTTGCTTCCAAGCCTTGACATCCCTCGAAAAATCTAAACTGATTGTCGCGAGTACAGGCTTCGCGGTTTGCTGCATGGCTATGAGGTGGTGACTCGTGCGATTTCAGGCACCAAACCAGGTGTAGGTATGCTGGCACACTCTACAGGAAGCAGCCCTTTGTAACTTTGAAACTCCAGTCGCATCCCCCGTCTGTTGGCCCTGAAGCACTACATTCACTACATGAAATTCGACGTGCTCGTTCAAAAACCGGTCTGTAAGGCACGAGCCCACTGCGAGCTCACGTTGTACTCGTGGAAGACCTTCCAAACAAGGGGTACAAGGCTACCAGAATGAGAATGTTGTTGAGATTCTTCGATCTTCTCCCTCCCACAATACGCAAAACCCTGGCTCCGCCTGCCACCCCGATCTCGGCGAGGGAGTAGGAGCTCAATGCGAGCTTACTTAGGTTTTACCGGTTAGGGTTTAAAGGAAGCACAACCGGTTCCTCTGGACGGGCCTTCTGCAGATTGAAGTAGTTGTCAAGCCTCGCGCATCGAGCCAATGGGAGCTTATCATCTGATAATCAACTGTGCACATACATAAACATGTATGTACTATATATGTATGAACAAACCCGGCATGTGTTCGTGTGTGTATGTATGTGCGTGTACGTATGTATGTATGTATGTGTGTGTATATATATATATGTATGTATATGTGTATATAGGTATATAGATATAGACATGATATAGAGACACATATATATATATATATATTCATAAATACGCATATTGAATGTGTATATATGGTGCGACAGCGACGTGGGGCGGTCGTGGTTAGGGGGTGGGCGGGAAGGGGTCAGTGAACCGACGACCAATCTCATGCATGTATTTGCATTTATTTGCGAAACCACGTGCTCCTCAAGGAAATAGTACAATTCAGTTGCGGAAAGGGCGCAGGTACAACTCCGTCTGATTGACCAGGAAGTTCGGAGAGAGCGTCAACCCGTACCTTCTGCACACCCCCTGGATTTAGCGTTTGTGGTGAGAAGCTGCTAGGGTTTAGGGTTTAGGGTTTTGTGGCACTCTTGCCAACATTTCCCGGTGGGTGTGTTGGTAGTTGTTGTTGTTGGTTGTTGTTGTTGTTGTATTTAACTGGCTGCTGAGCTAACGAGGCGACTACGAATCATAAGGGCATGTCATGCGGCTTGGCTTCCAATTGTTTTGTAGCGGTGGCTGTCTGGTATCTTGCGATTTCTCGCTTCTCAAACAACACTCAAAATTGTTCGAATCATGTATGTTGTCTAAGTCGTCATCATAGACATTGGAAGTTGCTTCTGCCGTTGCAGGCAGAGTCGTTGAGTTGTCATCGTTACCAAAACCCTCCTCACCGCCATCATCATCATCATCATCATGGCCGAGGCCACCGTCATTGTCAGCATCGCCTCCAGAGCAGCACCACCACCACCAGCACCACCAGCATCATTTGCATCGTCGGCACCTGCGTCCTGGTCATCGTCGGTATCATCAAGACACCACCATGTTACAGTTGTTACAATCACGATAGTCAGTACAACCATGATGCTATATGAACCAGAAAGATGCAAGGAAAGCGATCATCATGACGAGCGCTATTGTTGCCTTTTCAGACAAAGCTTTGGCGCACAATTGCATGGATAAGAGGAGCTGAGGCTATGCTGGGGCACAAAATTGGTTCACTACTCTCATCCTCATTGGCTGCAAGCAGAATCCAAAACTCCAGGGTCTATCAACCAAAAACCGCCAATTGATCCACGAAAGCTTCGTCCGAGCCACTCTTCCTTGTCCATGGAGAACTGGAAGGCGATCGCACCTGACCCAAGAAAGAGGATGACAACGCACATCCTGTACTTTTGACGAGGGTTGTTGTCTGTGCGACAGGCAAGATGTCCCGCACTTATGCTGAGAACAGACATGCGCAAGACTGTATGGAAGAAGTCGTCGCTCCAGGTCCTCCTTGAGGCCCCGGCCGCTGATGATCTCACCCATGTCCTTCCCAACCAGATGCTTCACTTCGGGCCAGGTTCGGCCATCGGGGTACCTGAGCTCCGGCGGCTGAGCGCTCTGCCCCGCGGCCCGCAGGGGTCTGAGCGATTAAAATAGGGCTTCGGGCTGGTATCGGCATAGGGTTTAGGGTTTAGGGTTTAGGGCCTGGGCCGACAATGTCCTTAAGTTTTTGGCATGCGGGCAGCCAAAGATGGGAAGGACAACAGGACTTCAGAGCTCAGGGCTTCAAGCTTCAGGCTGCTCGGATCTCCAAGGCTTTTTGGTTTTGTGCAACATGGCTTCATGGCCCAAGGCTCCACGACTTGAGGATTCAGGGTCGAGGGTCCAGGGATTCACGCCCTTGTGGTGAGGACTCCATGACTTGAGTTTAGGGGTTTGGGGTTTAGGGTTTGGGGTTTGCACCTTCCATGCTAATCGCAGCCAGGTGCGGACACTTGGTCTTGAAGACACCCAGGTTGCACCCGAACTCCGTGAACAGCATAGGAACCTTCGGCTCATTGAGAGAAATCCCAGGTTGAAACAGATTTCGAGACCATACTAGTGCCATACTAAATCTCATGTGAACTTGGTCGCTGTATCTGTCGATGCGCCTATGGGTCTTTCTTTCTTTCTATATGTCTGTCCATCTGCCTGTGTGCTCATCTCTCTTTATTGCGACTGGTCCCACTAGGACAGCCCCAAACCTTCAATCACAAACCCCCAATACCCAAGGGGCTTGTCAAGAATCCTGAAATCCAACACCTCAACCCTCAAATTGCAGCCCGTGGAACTGCAAGATCTTTGAAGTCCTTCTTGATCTCGTAGTACGGAGAATACCTCGGGTCCATGGGCCCGGATGTCAAGGGACCACGACTGGTAGCGAGAACAGAAGAACAGAAGTAAGAGTAAAGCGAAGTAGAGCAGGCCGGAAGGTAGCAGTAGTAAGTACTAGCACGAATAAACCCGCTAAAGTCATAAGAACGACAAGCATCGGACTCTGAAGCCTTCCTGACCCTGAAGCGTAAACCTTACGACATGAGATCATATCATCAGAACTTCCCAAAACCCACATATCTCCATCCATAAAACCCAAAAGCCTCGCCCGAGCTTCCTCATCTACCGAGGTGCTGGAAGTTGTCGGCGAGCCCATCACCGGGATAGGTCTGCGAGGGACCCAAACAGCAAGGAACCCAGAAACTCCAAAATCCCGTGAGCAAGACATATTCCTGAAGTGATGTCATAGTAGGGGGTGTAGGGTTTAGGGATACCTGGTATGGTAGGCGGAGCCGGTGCAGAGAGCTCGACAACGCATTGCCTTTCCGCAGCTCACTGTTCAACAACGCAGGTATCTGCAAAGATTCGCAAATACATGTACATGTACATACACGCTTATGTACTAGTTTCCCCGAAATGCGCGCATGCGTGTGTGAGAGAAGAAGGGAAAGAGAGAGGGAGAGGGAGAGGGACATAGACATAGAAGTATACATGCACACAAAAATGTACACAGACATACACACTTCTGATGAGCATACCTGCCCATCCACACATGTCGCGACCCCGGGCCTCGTCACACCAGGAGTACACATTGAGGCCGTACACATCCACGGCGTCTTCCTTTGGGGGTTTAGAGTTTAGGATTCAGGGGGAACAGCACCGGCCAACTTTCAGGTAAGCTTGCGGCAGGTGGAACGTAAGCGACGAGGTCCAGGCAGATTGGTTAAGTCGAATACAGAATCCGATTGGAAGCAGATTATCGAAGCTGGACATGACAGGAGTACCCTCACACTTAGGGTTTAGGGTTTGGGGTTTAGGGTTTAAGGTTTAGGGTTTAGGGTTTGGGGCTGTATGCACAACCTAGATCTCAATGAACGTGATATGCCAGCCTCACTGCTCATGGCACCACCGTTCCAATTTCCTACACTATTTTGGAGGTTACTTATCATTATTATAGTATAATGGGCCCCAAAACCCTATTCTAATTAATTCCGAAACCCCTCCTGTTGGTACCCTTAGAGTAAATAACTAACAAATTTTTAGGGTATTTATAGTAGATCCTTAAAATGGAACCCTTATAGAAACCCCTGTGAAAACAAAAAACCTTATAGTCTGTTTAAAAAAAAAAAGCAAACCATTTAAAGAAATCCTCTCTGACGGCTCCTCGCTGTCCAGTGCGCAAGTCAGGTACCGCGCCACCTCCCCGCGGTCTCCTCGCTGGAATCGCGGAAAAAGGCGGTTTCGGAGGGGGGGGGGTTTAGGATTGTTTTGGTGGTTTGCATGTGTTGGATTCTTCTTTTTGGATTACGGCTTCAGGCTTAGCATGTAAGGCTTGGGAGAGACCAGCAAGAGCAGACGATACAACTAGATCGTTTACCGAAGGACCAGCGCCCGCATTTAGATTCCGGAGTATGTTCACGGTCCGGTCCTGCACCCATGTCCACATCGGAATAGATCCTTGGTGCTTGAAACCCTCCACCAAGCAACTTTCACGCACGAAAAGGGACCAATTACCCATGTGTGAATCCAAGTGACAGCGGCACTCGGCGCATGGAGCTGCCGCACGATTTCTCAGCATACCGGCGGTGTTCAGCAGACAAGAACAGATGTGCATCTCAATCGATTTCTGGTATGATGTCCTTCCATCAAAATACACGCGAAAACCAAAGTTCAGAGTACTCGAACAGCAGATTGTCCCAATGACACTGAGGCCCTGCCAGACTCAGCTCTTATGGGCTTTGACGCTTTTTCATTAAGTGTTCCAGTATCATGAGACTTGAGAGCTATCTGCAATTCAACCGCGGAAACCCAAACCTCTGAAACGATAAACCAGGGCAGGCCTGATAGAGGTGCACATCCCTTGTGAGGGCTTTGACGCATGGGAAGGCCGCCCATCCGTTCTTGTCGTTCTGGGCCTGGCCGGCAATGACAGTTGCGACTTCCATGGCAATAATGGTGATACTCATATTATTATTATTATTATTATCATTATTAGTATTATTATTACCAGCAATAATAAGGATAGAATATTAAATAGTAATGAGTAGTAATGCGGGCTGAGGCTTGCGGTTTGGAGCTGAGGGCTTCGAAGCCTCGGTCCTGCAATCAACGCCGCTTTTGCTACGAGGAGCTCGAGGCCCTTGAGCTTGCGACAAGACTCGGAGAAACAGAGCGGCTGGGAGTCCTATCGAAAGTTTAGCATCTGGAGATTTGCATTTGGGGGTTTCGGGCAAGGAGATTGAAAAAATTCCGGCAGCTGATGCATACAGAATCATACAGAGAGCACACAAGGCAAATCAATTCGAGACTGAGAATACGGCCAGTTCGTTTGCGACCGTAAAGAGGAGGGTATTGTTGAACTGGCTGAATTCCTTCACAACCTGCTTGGCAAAACCTGAGCATCGCATCGACGCCAGCAGACAGCAATCCAATCCACCTCGCTGACAGACATAAAGACGAGGCACTCAGGGCATTCACACCCACATTCCCATAACCTTCGATCTCCTGCAGGGGCAGGCCGTCGTTCCGCTGCGAGGGACGCAACACTCCACCCTCGATTTATTGCTTCTAGATCCGGTAATGGGCCATAGACATAAAACGCGCCAGCACTTCAGGCGATTCATCAACAGAAACCGATGACACACTGCAAGAGCCTGCAAACTTCCTTGATGACCGTACACAACCTATAGTATCGGTACACGTATCAAATAATTGACAGAAGAATGTGGTAGCAGCACCAAAACAACCAGACAATGATAACCTCTGATGACATCGGCGATGCATCGCCAAGAAAGTTCGGAACACCGAATGAATGACCGCACGGTGGTACTACGAAAAGCAACGGAAGCAGCAGCAGGACCTGCAGCACCGTAGCCAGAGCGTATCGAAGATGAGGCTTCTGATATACTCATTAGTCACACTCCTCTCAGCGAACCCCTAAACCCTAATCCCTAAACCCTAAACCCTAATCTCTAAACCCTAAACCCTAGTCCCTAAACCCTGAACCCTAACCCCTAAACGCCAAACCCCTCAAGAATGGTAGCCAGGTCTCCTGCGTGTAGCAGTCCGGGGCCGGGAAGGCTGGGAGGAAGCCCCAGTCTTTGCCGTTCAGGGGGACGATGACCTGATAAGCTTGCTGAGGGTTTCGGGAGTTTGTCTAGGGTCGACATACGACATGCACATAGTATACCAAAATCGATCGGACCTGTTTTCAGATTTATACATGTATATATAGACATCGATACATATATATATATATATATTATATGACATCGATACATATATATATATATATATTATATGTATTAAATTAACTAAATAATACATATATATATATATATATATATATATATGTTCCTTTGAGTTCAGAGTGCATGCTTGAAAAAGACTCACAGTACTGCTTGCTGCTTCTTCACTTGATTTTGTGGATCGTTTGCCAGAGGTTCGGGACAACAAGTTCATGAAGATCTCATGCTCCTGCCACTGCCACTACCACTAGCACTACCACGAACACCAGCACTACTATCAGCATCACTACTGGCACCACTACTAGCGCTACTACTAGCACTGCTACTGGCACTCCTACTAGCACTACTCCTACTACTTCTTCTTCTACTTCTATTTATTTCGACTTCTTATTTCTACTTCTATGTCTACTTCGTCTGCTGTGGGCACTGCCACTGCTAGTGCTGCTGCTCCCGCCGCCCCCCCCCCCCCGCTACTGCATTTGCTACTGCACTTCTACTTACTTCTACGTCTACCCCTAGTGCTACTCCTACTCCTGCGCCTACTCCTCCTCCTACTACTGCTGCTACTACTACTACTACTACTCCTCCTCCTGCTGCTCCTACTACTACTACTACTACCACCACCACCACTATATACTGCTCTAGCACAGTGACCAGTACGTCGGGAAGCAAGACATTCATCGTCAGCTGCCCAATCTTCAGAATCTTCATCAACAGAGTTATCAGCCACAAGCACCGCCATCACCATCACCATGATCATCGCCATTACACTACCACTACATACCAAGTGTAGTCGCTCACAATCGACACCAATGTTTGAATCTAACCACTGGATTCTGACAACACGATAGCACGATCCTACAAATTGTCAACCGAGCATCGTAGATTCCCAGCGAGGCCGCCTCAAAGAGGGAGAAATGATATCAACAAACACTGACGAGCCGGACTGAAGTACTAGCAGCCTTCTCCATGAACTTGGTGTGGTTATTCTTGGGGTCGACATTGTAAAGCCGCACAGTGTTGGCACCTGTCTCAGCAACAGTAACACAGCCCGCACTACTTTGAAACTTTGCTGTCGCCAAATGTCACTGGTGTTTCTGATCTTGGCCCTGAACCCTAAAGCCCTGCACGCTAAAGAGCTAAAGCAATGCACACTCTGAACCCTAACCTAGACTTCAAAGCCCTAAACCCCACAACTGCAACATTCTGTTTGTTATCAGTACTGTATTTCTCTGATCAGAATTGTCACTAAGATTACTATTGTTGCTATCAATGTTATGCTATGTTCTTGTTCTTCACGACCTTTTCACCATTATTATTACTACTGTTACTATCAATACTATTCTTATGTTCTTGCTCTTTAATCGCTTGGAGGTGCGAGTCCTCCACTGCACCGGCATCCCGGTCACTGGGGTGCCCACCAAGGTTCGCTATGGCGTCGAGGTCCTCGCCTTGGTATCGGCTTAGGGCTTAGGGTTCCCTTTAAGAGAACTAAAGGGGTTCCTTTAAAGGAACCCTTAGGGCTCCTTTGAAGGAACTGCAAGGGCTCCTCTAGGGGAACTATGTCTACTTGCAGGTGCATGGCTCGAAGTTCCGTACTGTGGGTTATGACTGAATTTACCCTACTTATAAGCCCACTTCTAACGACCATGAACCTCAAGCAGGGTTTAGGGCTTGCGGCCTTGGAGGAGCAGATCACCCGTTTCGGGAACAGGGTTTGGTGGCTTCGGGGTTCGGAGTAAGGCTTCGAAACATTGCTCCAAGGACAGGAGGTAGACCCATGCAGGAGTCCGGGACCATTGATATAAATCTCGCTGCAATAGCAACAATGACATGAGCCTCTCTTGACTTGACGGTATCTCCGACGAATTCCATGACATGGGTTGACAGCTCTTCTTCTTCCTCAAGGAAGCTTCGCACAGCCGGGAGTCTCGATGCTTGCAGAAGCTCCCTACACTTCTTTCGCCAAAGGTCCTCAAGTCCTACGGCCGTCCCTTGAATTACCGACGTTAGTAACACAAAGAGGATGTCGGAAAGGAATGAATCAAGAGCGTTCCCAGACACTTTGCAAGCCGCTTCAGATCCGTCGGAACGAACGACCTGCCAGGGCACTCCACATGTCCTCGTGCTCGTCAGAAATGACATCCTGTCATCAGCAATGCTGATAACGGGCTGCTTGCTTGATGGTAGGACTTCGGGGGCTGGAGGCTTGGGGACTTCGAATTCCTGGACGAAGCCATCCGAATCATCAGCAGCACTCTCACCATAGCCATCGCCAATATCAGTATAGTTGCTCATTCGAAAACGGTACTACACAGTACTAATGGTCATGTAAGCCTGAAACGGCCAATACATCATCACGACGAAGCGCAATGAAGCCAGGAAGCTAAAAGCTCCAACAAGAAAGTATCGATATTGACTCTACAAGGTCGAAAAGCGGTGCGTTGCCAATTCCTGCAAAAACAGACAACAGCGGCCCAAACTAAAACACCAAGCTTAAAGACGCACAAAGTGAACATCTCATCGCCCACTTCCAGCAAGAAGCAGGTGAAAACAGGCAGAACCCAACACCGTGCCAAAATCGCAGAAAGCCCTAAGCTCTCCTAAACCCCCCAACCCGAAACCTTGAGCCCCTAAGCACCAAACCGGAAACCCTGAACCCCGTGTTTGATGGAAGTCCTCGGTGTAGGTCCACTCACCTCCCTTCGGATGTCCCGGGACGCAGTGATCCTCGGCGTTTTCAGCTCTTGGGCTCACGGTTGAGTTTCAAGCGTTGGCCAAAGGATGTAGCTTTTAAACTGTGTACCGGCTTGGGCTTTGGCTTTAGATTTAGGGCTTGGGGCTTCCGGATAAGAGCTTGGGGCTGGGCGCGCAGACTGCCCGAACCCCAAACGAGCCACGGACAAGCACACCCCAGCATACCTGCGAGAGTGTGTGTGTGTGTGTGTGTATATATATATATATATATAGACTGGCGTATTAGGTGTGCATGTGTATGTGTGTATATTTATATTTATATATATATATATATATACATATACCTATACCTTTGCATCTACATCTACATATACATATACGTATAGTCGCCCAGCTCGTCCAAGTGGCCACCCAGCCCTCGACCTGGCAAGACCCGGGAGGAAGAGTTCAGCATTTCGGACTTCAGAATTTAGGGATAAGGGCCCCTGAAGCTTAGCAGTTGGGGTTTAGGATTTAGCGGGCCTAGAGAGTTTATTCTGAGGCGCTTGAGCTTTGAGTTCGAGAGCAACAGGTCTTCGTGCCCGAGGAGGAACTTGACTATCATGCTACAGTACATTATTAGATACTACACTAGAGTAGAAGAAGATATAAGATGAGTATTCTACGTATAGTATACTAGAAAAAGCGATCATACGGAGATCTTCGAACAAGCTTAAGTACTTGTAAAAACTACAGTTACCTCATATCAACATTACTACTACTACTACTACTACTACTACTACCACCACTACTACTACTACTACTACCACCACTACTACTACTACTACTACTACTACTGCTATGTTTGCTACTTGGCGTTCCTGCCCTTGTTGGCGGTATTGAGAATTAGCCAACTTCTCGTTTCTCCTATCATCGTTGATCTTGTCTTTACGCTCTTTGCCTGGCTACCCTTGACAATCCTGTGGCTCTTGATACCGGCAGTTCCCTCCAGTTCTACACTTCTAATTTTAATACTCTTACGACCCTTTCTCTTCTAACTATCTATGCTTTAGCAGTATCCGACTCTCGCCATTGCTCCTACATGTTGAACGCCTGCAAATCTTCTGCAGTGTTATGACCAAAACCGCTGACAGCCTCTCACCAGCCCCCCAACCCCGCCCCCTTTAAACAGAAACACTAAAACCTCAAACCCCGAAATCTCCAAAACCCTGAACCCTTAACTCCGAAAACCCGAGATGAACCCCTGGATGAAGACGTCGATAACGTCAAACCAGACCCTTCCTGCACGTTGTTCCCGAAGGAGTGGTCGTACCGCTCCTAAGCAGAAGATGGGTGTGTGGGGTTTAGGATCGAGAGTTTGGGGTTTTGGGGTTTAGGGGCGGTTCAGAGCTTTGGTCCGGGCGTTCGGACATATGTCGGATGGCAGCGCAGCTGGATGCTGGCGTGCCGCATTCCGCGGGTTGTAGGCCACGCCTTTGGCGAAAAAGCGCTTTCCGGTAACCTGGGATGGAGGGCTCGCTGCATCAAGGCACCGTTGAGGATGACTGTTATGAGAGCAGCGTACTCGTTTGCGGATTCAGAAAGAAGACCCCAGTTTCGAGACCTATCTGCCTGAGCCAGCAAGACCGAGTCACATATCACTTCGTTTTGGCGCAGAAGGCTGCCACAGAGTCTGCACTAATAAACGTGGGATCACTGAAACCCCTGCCAGTGCTCAACTCACACCTTCGCAACACGATCGTGGGCCCTCAGCTTGAGCTCCTCTTTGAGGATGGGCCAGGAAAGTACGGCCTACGACCTACGGCGCAGCAGCCAGAGCCCCTCAAAAAGGGGCTCAGTGCCAGACCACCTGGGCTACCTCGGCAATGCTCCGGGGCACATGCTTCGGGGTTCCGGGCTTCTGGGCAGAGTGTAGGGCTTCATGGGCGTAGCGGGTGTGGGATTTAGGGTAGCACGGTCGACAGCGGAGGCTTCTGGAAACTTGCTCGCCAAACTGCCACGGTGAGCATGGCACCGACGGCGGCAAGGCTGCGAGATCCTGCGAAGCTGGGAGGACCCTCCTACGCCCCACCCGAGAAAACCACCGTCCTGAGTTGACGAGGTAGCAAGGCATGGCTGTGTCTCCCCTTGGCATTGTGACAGCGCTTCCGGTGAAAGTACGGCAACTAGATCGAACTCAAACCATGCAGGCAAGAATCTTGCAGTATCCCACTTTGGTGTCGGTCTCTGACCTCTGGACCTGGCGACAAGAGCCGACGGAGCCCCAGATCCCAGAGATCCCAGGGCCCGACCCTCAGCTCCCAAAAGCTGAAGCTTAGGCCAGCGCGCACTTGCAGGCATAGGGATAGTCGTCCGACAAGGTGAACATCACAGTGCTGTACACCCTGCGAGGCAGGACGGATCATGAGACTCTTGGTACTCATCGCAACCGTCGCAAGCAACACTGCAAGCAAGCTACGGAAAAGGACAGGCAGAAACAGCGGAACCAATGGACATAAATACAACACACACACACACACACACACACGTATGCACCAGCACCAGCACAACATTAAACACGACTAGAACCACAACACCAGCACACTCGCAATGACAGTGTCTGTGGCTCCCCTTCGGTCTCAGCTGCGCGCCCCGAGACAGTGACATCACCATCCGGTGTTTGCACCGCCTTTCGAGAAAACTGCAAAGGGACTTCTGGGGGGGGGGGGGCTAAGGAAATAGGATTTAAGAGGGTTCGGGCTTTCGGGTTTGGGGGCTGAGGATTTAGGGTTGTGTTTGGAGGGTCCTGGGGTTAGGGGCTAGGATTTGGGTAACTCTCTAACAAGGCAATCAACGTAATCTTTTCGGCCTCCGAAACTGGGGACCTTGCTTTGGGGAACCCCTCTCTTATGGCCGGGACTTCAGGGGTTCGAATCCGGAATCGGGAAAAAAGAAATGACACCCATAGTCGTCAGAGTAAGAGAACGAGCCCGCATGAAGATGATTCCGAAGACCACCAAACATAGCAAATGCTAAATGATGAAAACCAAGCCCCTCCACCCCAGACCAAAAACGCTCCGCCCAAATCTTGAACCGAAACCCTGAATAGGTCCTGAACCCTGAAAGCCTCCACCACGTCTCCGAAGACATACCCGGAGGACACCCTGGCAAAACGCGTGGGCTCATGGATCTAAAGACCTTCGGGAAATTTGGGCGGAGGAATTCGGCTTTCTGGCCTTGAGACTGAACTGTACGCAGGCTGCTGGAGCCCTGAAAGACCGAAAGAGTGCATCATGACGCTCCGAGTTGCCAAAAACCTGGCACCCTGCAACCCTAGGATCTTAAACCCTATGCCATTAAACAATCAACACTCTCGACCTCAAAGGCTGAGACACGAATTCCCCTCAGCTCAAACCATACCTTGCGAAAGCTGATTGCGTCGGTGTTGATGGCATGTGTTCATAGTTCGGGCTACCTTCCGTAGGGTTTCCACGGGTTTCATACCATTCTCGGCAGCTGTGCGGGGTTTTCGTGTGCTGGCTTGCAGTGTTCGCCAGATGCTTGAGTTTCTAGATCAAGAAACTCTAGACTCTAAATGCTGCTGAAACCATAAACTTAAACAAAAGAAGCCTGGGCATATGCTGACATCTTGTGGGACACTCCGAAAGAGCATACAAACCTTCTTGATGCTGCCGGGGAAGATGCCAAGTTGTTACGGCTGACCTTGTTATCACAACTTTTATTAGCATCGGCCCTGGCACGATGTTGCTATCGTGAAGATTCGGTCGTACTACTGGTGCACGTTATCATGTTAGCTGTGGTGCGCTGTTGCTTCTCTAGCGACCTAGCAACCTGGCACTGGCCTTGTTCTTCTCACTGTTTGCCTTCATTGCATAGTTGTGTTAAGCGTCCCTGCGTTCTTCTGTCTCTTCTTCAACTGTCCTGGCTCTTGCGCGCTACTTATATTACCTTTCGTACTCAAGGTATTGTTGGTTTATCTAGAATGTTAGCCATCTTGTCTACACCTGCATCGGCATCATCTCTAACTACTGCTACAGCCTGTCAAGACAGACGCGACGTATTTCGAGCTACAGAGCCGCACACAACCGGCCCAAACAAGCGCGCCGGGGACACCGAAGAAGTGCGGCCAGGACCGCGGCGTGTAAGGCGAAGTGACGCATCGGGAGCCTTCTCGACAGCAAACCCCAGTCCCGGAAGGGTCTTGGTTGGAGGTGGCTGAGGTGGTTGTTGCTTGCACTATAATTACTTGTAGCAAAGTAGGTTGTGAAGTTTGTACTACAGGGATTCGTTGCGGATCTCCCGGCCTTCCTGCAGCGTCAACAGCTGCCTGTGGAGATTCGGCGATATCCGGTGCTCTACTCAGACTTTGCTCGTTCTGAACATACAAGCATCTCATGGCCAATATGTAACTATTTGCTTAAGAAACCTCCAAAAAATAAAAATAATAATCCCTATATTACCCCCATAAGGAAAATATTTTTTATAGTTGTGTTGAAACTTTAACTCCTGTATCTTGTGCAATATCATCGCGTCCCTCTGCCCGAGTGCTCATAGTCACGTGCTCGCAAGCCACTACTGGTAAGCCAGGGCAGGACAACGCCTTGAGCCGACAGAGCAAGCGAGAGAGGCGAGTGGATCCAAGATGCCCCACATCCATCCACATCCCAACACTGACCGTTTCCGTTGAATCGTGCTTAGCCTTACAACAGCGCGGCAGACGCCGGCTGTACCAACCCGCCGACATGTTGCACAGCCTTTGCCAACCAGAACTCGCCCCATTCCCAAGCTCAATCAAGGTGAGCGTCACAGCGCCATGACCGTAAACCACACCTTGATTAGTAGCATCACCGTCGTCCTCTTCCTCATCATCATCATCATCAACAACAAATAATCATCGGCAGCAGTAGCAGGAACATCACCATGGCAAGGGTGATCGTCATCGTCGCCGCGATCATCAGCAGCAGCAGCATCAGCAGCAGCACCAACAACACCAGCCTTGCCGTCATCATCGACACCTCTTCCTTGACGACTGTTATTATTTTCACCAGCGCCACTAACCCGCACCTGCACCAGCGCTAATCGTGACCCTGATCACAGTTATCATCAGCGTCCCCATACCACCACCATCATGGTGTCCCTGTGATGGCGATGATGGTGGTCGAGATGATGGTTGTGGTGAGGGCCACCATGGAACCTGAAAAGCCAAAGGAGCAGAATCATAGAGGAAGTTGCTCTTGACAACGACGGGATGCACCGACCTTCGAAGCCAGCTTGAGAGATACTCAGCTTCGCCACACCAAGCTTGCGGTTTACAAGTCTTCGGTCAAGTTCTGTTCTGCTCATTCTTGCGAGCACTGTTTTTTTAGTTCATGCTCGTGGCCACAGCACAAAAAAGCGAAGAGCAAGGAGACGGTGGAGGAAGGCGAAGGGGCCTAGGAAAAGAAGTTGAGCACGAGGATGAGGACGAGAGCGAGGCTGTGGGTGACGGCATGTGAGGACCGGTAACAGAGCGGGTGCTGGTGATAGTGGGTGTGCGGACGGTGCTGGTCTTAGCTGTGATGGAAGCAAGAGCATGAAAACTTCAGTCATGGCAGCAGCGAACCACGACCCTTCTTCTCCAAGTCTGCCGAGCGGCTGTACAGTGGGTGGCGTGGACATGGGCCGCCGGGCAGGTAGAGGAGGCATGGTCCTCACTTGCGGGGCTTTTCGGGCTCCGACTTCAGGTTCTACAGATCCCAGAAGGCCTTAGTGTTTTATGTTGTTGGCGCTGGCTCCATGAAGCTTGAGGCAGTTGAAGACCGGAGGCCTTGCCTTCGAAGGCTTTCGGGCATCTGCCAAAGGCTCGAAACCCGCTGAGAACGGGACGCAGTCGGAGTCGCAGGCGTCTGCTCCTGGGAGCTTCAGCGCTTAGGAATTTCGGTTTAGGGTGTTGGGGGTTTCAGGCGTTCGGCTTTAGGTGCTAAGATGTGCTACGGGCTACAGCGGGTTTGGGGTTGAGGGTTTCAGGGAATTCGGATACTACGGGTGTGGGATGCAAGGGCCCTAAACCCTAAACCCTAAGTAAACCCCAAAGAGGAGATTCAGGTTTAGGACTGCCTAAACCCAAAACAGGAGCTTAAGGTTTAGGAGTTCGGATTTCCCAAACCCGACCTCGGGATGCTCTTCCGGGCTTTCGTGGCTGTGGTCCGCCTCCTCCGGCTCCTCAGGGCTAGGGGGTGGAGAAGGGGTTTTCAGAGTTCAGGGTTTAGGGTTTAGGGTTTAGGGTTTAGGGGTTTGGGGTTTAGGGTTTAGGGTTTAGGGTTTAGGGGTTTGGGGGCCCTAGGGGTTGCAGTAGGGTTTAAGGTCTAGTCTGGGGGCTTCGGGTTTAGGAGTTCGGGCTTCTGCCATGAACCCCAGGTCCTCCTGGGGAGTCTCAGTCTCCGAGTCATCCTCGGAATCTTCATCGTCCTGATCTACGGGATCGTCTTCATCCGGAAGGTCCTGGCGCTTCCGGGCTCAGGGCTCCAACTCCAAGTGCAGCAGAACCCAGATTACGGCCTTGCAACGTGAAAGCGGCAGAGGCTCGCCGCCGAACTACCACGACTACCCCTACCGTGAAAGAGCCGTTTGCATGCTTGGCGTCTCCATCACCACCAAGCATCACAACTCCGACTAGAAAAGATTGCTGCAAAGACGAGTCTCTCCCATTCCCGGTAGACCGGGTATGACCAGGTCCGGAGAAGCCGTGTGTTCGCCAATCCTCCTGCCATGTTGCTCTTGTTTAGGGTTTAGGGTTTTAGGGTTTAGGGTTTGGGGCGGCATTTGCTCAGCCAAGAATCACAAAATCTGTTGCCGATCAACGATGCGTTATGGCAATGATACCTTGCCATCAAGCTCATGCGTGATGGCAATACACGAGACACGAAACACGAGATGACGAAAGCACAACACCTCCAGCCCAAAAACCCCAAAAAAACCCAACAGTCAAACACCCTAAAACCCCTGAACCCGAAACTCTGAACCCTCTCCCTTAAAAGCCCATACGAATCATACAACCCCAAAGCCGAAATTGCAACCCCAGCTCACAGCCTACACCCTAGGACAGGCCCTGGAAGTGAACGCCTCGTGCGAACCGCTATAGAACCCGCATGCAACCTTTGTGGGAGCCCTCTAGAACGGGAACCGCATGGAACCCAACAGACCCCTGAAAACACCCACGTAGAACCCTCATGGAACCCATACAGATCTCTGCTCGAACCCCAACCCGATACCAGTGGTATCGAAAATAATGTTCTCACTAACAATAGCATTCACAAAAGCAGTAGTACTAGCCGGCTAGCTAGCTTCCTCGATGCAGCTCGCCGCTGCAGGGCATTCAGAGAACACTCGGCATCTTGGAAGCACTCGCTGTCCTTTATGGCGCAGTTGGGGTTTAGGCCTCTACAAGGGGTTACCACGGGCAGGATTGACAATTGAAGGGTTTAGATAAAGGGCTTGGGTAGAGGTAGAGACTTAAGGGTTCTGGGTCTGGGATTTTCGGCTTCAGGGCTCCAGACAATTTAAAGCATTTGGGGTCAGGGTATATAGGCTTTAGTTCACTCTTCTGGTTCCGCTGCTGGCCTTTCAGTTACCTCATGTGATCCCAAGAAAACATCCCAACCCCATCAACGACAGCTTCAAACCCAGAATCGCACGACGCAGACTATAATGGGCTATATAATGGGTGTATAATAGCTATATTATAAAGGGTATATATGCCAAAAATCGTCACAAACGCGAAGCCCTGAACCCTAAACGGCCGGGCCTGGGCCAAGAGGTTGTCAAGAGCCGCGGCGCGCGCCGCCAGAGCGGCGAGAATGCATCGAAAAGCCTGGGCTGGACTCCCAGTGATGGATCTGGTCTAGGTTTTAAGGATTTGGGGTTTAGGGATTTAGGGTTTAGGGTTTAGGGTTTAGGGGTTAGGGTTTAGGGGTTAAGGTTTAGGGTTTAGGGTTTAGGGTTTAGGTTTTATGGATTTGGGATGGAGTTACGATTTTTGTTCAGGGCTTCAGGTTCTTGAGTGTTGCACTTGCACTGGCATGAACACCAACACCGAAACCAGCACAAAAACAACGACCACCAAAAACATCACCACCACGACTGCTGGATTGTTCTGTGGCGATCTTTGCCATGACACGTCTAATTTCAACTACGGCTCGCCATTTCTCAGATGATTTTGCCAGCACTAAACGTATGACGTATGAAATAGCGTCAGTCCTTCAACCTCTGTGACTGCTCGTTTCCTTAGGTCTTAGTAGTGCTGTGCGAAGCTTTGGATGTAGAACATGCCAGCCTACAGTATCAGTCTTACTGGAAACAATTGCAATCCAAGCCACCATTGCAGAAAGCGCTGTCAACAGAGACAATAGACGAAAGGCTTGAGGCAAAAATGGCCCGCGCATACAAAACTGCAGCATCACACACAGAACTGACTCTTTGCATCCATGCCTGAGCATTCCATCATACATTGCTAACGTCTGAGACAGGAGCGCATCTGGCTGGACCTGGCATAGGAAGCTTCGCTTGCGCGATACGCGGTAGATGCCTCAACAAAGCAAATAAGATCCGAAGTAGTTGGATCCCCATGACATGGGCACCTTGCATACGGGCACCCTTTGTTAAGAACCCCCGATGCCGTTGTTGAAAGGTGGTCTTGCCTCCTTCTCGGCCATGTACGCCATCCAGGAACGGGCATCTTCTGGGCGTCCCTCCGTGGCACAGACCTCTGGAAACTGAAGCCCAAGGCTTTCAGGGTCCCAAGAGCTTCAGACTCCAGACCTAACTATTTTGGGTTTGGGGTTTAGGGTTTGGGGCTTAGGGTTTGGGTTTAGGGTTTAGGCTTTTTGGTCTCGGGTTAAGGGTTCGGTACTTAAACTTGACCACATCCGAGGCCTCGGAAGTCCACCAAAAAAGGGACCCTTGGATGCAGGTTCAGGCCTAAGGTCCCAGACTATTCTTATTTGCCGAAGTGAGGGAACCGAACTTCCTTGCTGATGCGTTTTGCAAGCTTGCGCCGGCCTTCAGGGGTCCCTTGAAGGCCGACGGATGGAGAGCAACGCCTTCCAAGCCCGACGGACAACAGCCAGGATTGGTCGTTACAACAAGGGGGTTGATGGATTGCAATCATAAGCAGCATGCTCATAGGGATCATCACCATGATCATCATCATCATCATCATCCCGGCATATAGTCCAGTCGATTGGGAGCCGAATGGGCATCATCACCAACATGTAGCTCAAAAGGTTCATCACCAGCAACAACAAATTGAAGGGAAAATAATTACACCACCAACACAAGAACAGCTTCACCTACAAAAAGTATCCACCACGAGTGAAAGACAAAAGCGGTCCAAAGACAGCGTCGACGGCAAATGCAGGACATGAACACTCCTGCCTGATGTGTCAATCGAAACCACTCAGGAGCATGAAATGCCTGTCTGGCCTACGACTACCAGAGAAAGAGACACAGCACAAGGAAGCTTAATCTCGAATGAAGCACAAGATCAAGCCTTCTTCGACCAGCTGCTCAAAGGACTGCTTCACCGCAGACAAGTCAGCAGTTGTTGCAAAGTCTGACGCGATGTCTTCGAGTCTCTTGCCCACGGGCCTGGTCAGGCGATACCCTTCGACGACTTCTGCAGCTTAGGGTGGGGTTTAGGGTTTAGGGTTTAGGGTTTAGGGGTTTAGGGTTTAGGGTTGCAAGAAGCATCATCAGGCCCCGGCCTACTGTCTACAGCGGACGTCGTAGCAACGGCTGCATGGCAAGTACGCCAGTCCCGCGTCCTGCACAGCTCAGCTTCATTGTGTCGAAGCCTCCTAGATGGATCGAAGGAAGTTAACGCAGATCGTGTCATCTGTTAGGATACCAATACCACGTCAAAACATGATCTCTTGTTCTGCAGACAGTGGAGCACTGCACAGGGAACATCTCAGGCCTCTGCAGACCATTCTCCAGGGCACCCTTGGAGGGAGTACAAAAAGTCGTCCAACCAGATGGGCCTCAGCTGCTGGTTCAGCTTTCAGGGCAGGCGTGATGTGAGCCACGGGCGTACGGCCGGTGAGGCATGTGTCAGCTGTGCAGCACATGACTGTACTCTTAAATTCTTAAACCGCCTTGCATCTTCCTTCAATCTAGCACAACATGACTGAGCCCTTTCTTCTTTCGAGGCTGTGACCTTGATTTTTCCTTACTCAATAATGCATTTTGAAGTCATGGCCTTCAGGCTATAAACACTGAGTTTCGGGTTTAGGGCTGCATCATCCATTGCACCACGTTTAAGTACTTCCTCCTACACGACATATCACTAATTGCAGCAGCGTCTGACACCTTCTAGCCCTGAACACCAAACCCTGAACTCTGTGACCCTGAAATTCCTGGACCCTAAACCCTTGTGACCCCAGCTTGTGACACTAAATCCTAATCCCCCAAACCCACAAACAATCGAACCCTTATCGAATCCCTCAAAATTGCCCTCAGAACCCTGAAAGGGTGCCTTCAAGGTTCCTTTAAGGGGTCCCTTTAAGGGCCCCCTTTGGCGGAAGCCCCAAAGGCACAGTTCTTCACGAGCGGGTCCTCGGACTGGCTCCGAGGAGCGGGCGGCCAGGAGGAGCTGACTGCCACAGAAGGAGGAGGACGAGAAGCGTTGCGGAAGACGCCTTCAGGTTACCCTAAACCCTAAACCCTAAAACCCTTAAACCCTTAAACCCTAAACCCCTAAACCCTGTAAACCCCTAGACCCTAAAGCGGTTTAGGGGCTTCAGGATGCTTCAGGGCGGTTAAGGGCTGTGGGGTATAGGGTTTAGGGGTTTAGGGCTTTAAGGTTTAAGGTTTGGGCCAACGACAGATACAGGGTTTTGCACTCCAAACGACGAAGCTTCCTCAAAGGATCGGGCAGGAGGTGCCCGGAGCGCCGAAAAACTAGCAAACGCGAGAGGAGGCAGGAAGAGCCCGCTGTTTCCGTCAGCATTAGGGTGGGATTCCCCAAATAAGAACCGAGGTCCGCACATGTCGTCGTCGCCGACATGAGTTGTGTTGGCTCATGACGCTGTCGGGTACGTAACTGCTGTGGCACCTGGAGCTGTGGAATGACCTTAGGTGCTGTTGCCTCCCTGGTGTAAACCTCGGTGCAAACCCTTTGCAAACCTCGGTCTAAACCCGGCTTTTCAACAGAACTGTCTGCACCGTTGCAAACAACAGGCGTTGCGTAGAAACGACATCTCAAGAACAGCATGCACGTCATCCCATGTCAACACGGCTCTTGTTCCTGACCTGAAGCCTCTGCGGCAGGGTCGTGCGGATAAAGGCGCCCTGGCCCAGAAAGCATACCACGCTTCCGCGAGCTTTGATGCTTCACAATGAGCCACTAGCCTCGCATCCAGGCTCAACTCGAAGTCACACCTACAACTACAGAAAAAGGGTGCCAGCATCACAGTAGCAGTAGCCGCTAGCAGTTGTAGTGATTCATGAGTGGCGGAGGAAGTTTCTACGAGGCCGTTCAACTTCACATCTTTTTTTGTCTTGTAGGCAGCGAGCAGTCGGGTTACGCAGCCGTGGCTCGGAATCTGATCGAGACTTGGCCCAGCAACTCTTATCATACATTCGGAGCCCTGAGCCCCCTGTGGGCTAGAAAGCCTGAAACCGAAGCCCTAAACTTTAGACCTAAACCCTAAACTCCTGATCCTGATCTCGTTAAGATGATGGGGCTGTTGCTCGGCAGCCTGGTCCGGGTCGAAGGCCCGGCCCGCTCTCTCTGGCCCAACCCACGCCCGTTTCAAAAAACTTCTGGGGCTTAAGGGTTTAGGCTTTAGGGTTGAGAGGTTTAGGATTTCGGGACTGCTCGAAGCTTACTCAAGGTAGCTTGTGTGGCTGAGGGCTTACCGGTCTGGGCTCGAAGCCGATCTGAACCCAGATTCTGGAGAGTGGCTTTTAGGGTTTAGAGGCAGAGTTTAGGGGAACCGAAGCTACCTAGTACCTGTGCTGAGGCCCTGGGCGGGAGGTGGCGAGCACAGACATGGGAAATTGCCCCACTCACGGCTCATCTCCTGCCAGGAAGATGGAAGCTGCTTTTCCTAGCTACCAACACTTGTTTGGCTCGCGGCTCTGCTTCCTTTTTCTGAGATCAAGGAGCTGAGTAGCGTGCCCGCTTGGCCTTTGGCTCTTCAGGCTCGAGGGACTCTGCGACGTCTCTGCGGAGGTAGTCAGCTTGAACGTGGCTCTCAGATCCGTCTGCATCCCAGGCAATCTGGAAGGACCCGTCCTCATGCGCCCCGATGATCATGGCCGGCAAGTACTCCTCATCTTCAGGCCAGTATGCCTTCACTGTGTCTCCGACTTGGAAGCTGAAGGCTTCCTCTGTGGCCTCGAACTCCCCCTCGGCCACGGATTCCTCCAACAACTCTTCGCCCACATCACACTCGGCCTCTTCAGCCCCTTCAGCCTCTTCGGCCTCTTCGGCCTCTTCAGCTTCATCAACGTCGATGAGAATTTCTTCTGGCCCGGGCGGTTCATCTGTCTCTGTCGCGACTTGGGGCCATTCACCGGTGACGTAGACAAGCCCCTCGCAATGCGCAGGCCTCATGCCGCGCACAGGTGCCTCCAGAGTGAAGGGCTCGCCGGCGGCATCGCGCAGCAACGTCACGTCGGGGCGGAACTCCAGCTCCGGCAGGAGCTCGCTAGCACAGCGCTCCGCGACCTCAGCATCTACCTCCCAGAGAGGGACCACGTCGATGTCACTTCCTCCCTGCTTTATCTTCTCCATCTCTTGCTGGGCGGCAGTCAACTTTGCCTTTACACTCCGGTCGTCCAAGCCCTGTGCCCGGAGGCTCATCATCTCCTGCTGGAGCGAAGCAGTCTTCTGCTTGCAATCCTTCAAGGCCTCGCATCGCTCGATGGAATTCACAGAGCCCAAAAGGGGGTGCTCCACCCCGAACATGGGCTCCAGCATCGGCGCAGCAGGGCACAGGTACTGCTCCGCGTTCTGAACCGGAAGGATGCAGATGGCACAGGAGATCGGCCGCATGGGCTGGAACTCCGACCTTGGCGGAGCCAAGGGCGCCTCTTTGGGCTTCAGGGACGGGAGAAACTGCGTGATCAGCCGAGCGCTCGCAAAGCTGTGCAAGCTCTTCTCTAGCACGAAGTAGAAGTCCCCGCAATAGCCATGGTGGTACATCTCCAGAATCCACAGCAATCCCTCCAAATATCTTCGCACACCCTCCGACGCTCTACCATCAAGTGTTGATGGCGCTGCCGATCCCCCTGCTGCAACTGTCATAAACTTGGACAAGAACGACAAGTTGAATGAGAAATGCTCATAAGGCTCAACGGCAAAAGCGGCCCCAGTTTCCCCTACTGAAAGCGCCCAACCGCCCTCCTGATGCGAGAGCGGCAGACCCTCCTCCGAGAGCGAGCTTTGCAGAAGCGATGTTGAAGGGAACTTCTTCCGCCTCAAAGCTAAATACTGCTCCCAAAGCTGCTGGGGATTTAGGCTGCACTTCAGTTCCGGCAAGTAATCGTTCCCGGCAAGCAGGGACACCAGAGCAAAGTCCCGGCGCAAGGCTGCCTCATCTGGTGAAGTGCGAGGCGCGCCTGGGCGTGAGAGCTCTTTGTGTATGTACCTGGCAAGCACCTCGGCATTCCAGATCTGCAGCGTGCCCCGGCGCCTCTTCCCGCCCCAATGGCCTTCCTTGCCTTGGGCACTCGAATCCTGCCGGTCCGAAACAACCCGCACTTGCCGGCATGCACTTTGCACCAGCGAGAGCAAGAAGATATCCGCATCACCGCTCGAGATGACGTGAGACTCCTGGGAGGCCGTGCCCGCGTTGCGCAGCATCTGGGAAACAATCTTGTGCTCACCCTCCCCGATAGCCTGCGCTCCACTAACAGTGACTGCCTCACAGCTGGCAAAGCACCCATTACCGGCCATCCGGCTCGCTGCATAATACTCAAGGGCGCTGGTCAATTTCGTCATGAACGGCACACCTGGCGTTAGCATGTTGTTCGACAGCTGCTCCGATGACATGCCACGGCCGCCATCCCACTTTCCTCGCTTCCCTCTGCCACCTTTGCCTCTGCCTGTCCCTTTCGAGCTCCTGGCGTCTTTTTGAGCATGAGCCCTGCGCCGTTGACGCTGGGTCAGACACTTCGCGCAGGACGCGGGTCCGTCTACTGCCAGGAAGACACTCTTCCAGGGCACTACAATTCGGAAAAGGGCGTCGAGCTTGCGGAAGAGATGCTGATAGAAGCCCTCCTCGCTTGAAGCATGACGCATGCAATCGTGCAGCAACGTGTTGATGTCCACGTACACGTGATCGGCACTCTCTTCGCTTGCCTCGGCAAATGCATCGGGATATCGCTGCGTGAGCCACTTGTGGTACTTGGGGATGCCCATGCGATTGGCCGGATGCTGCAGCCAGACTTTCAGGGATCATTCGAATCGGCCCAAAATGTGCATGTAGCTGTGTAGGCTTGTTGGTGTGAAGGTATGCTGTCTGTGTTGCAGTGCCTCGCGTGGTGCAAGAGTATGACAGGAAGCTCGAGACTATGTGCAGGTCAAACATTGCCGAGAATGACCCTTCGCATTTCTGTCGAGGCAAGAAAGGGTCAGAGGAGACAACAAAAGACGCTGAAGGAGTGTACTGACTCTGATTGGCGAGGTGGGGTCTCGGTCTCGGGATATGGAAGAGGAGCAGACTCAGGCGCAGCAGATGCAACCAGCCCGTCAGTTGATGCTCTTATCTCCTACCTGCACTCCCAGAGGAGGCCATATGCTCGAACCTACAAGTAGCTTGGATGCTGAGCCTCCTCCCCTAGATTCCGAGCCCCATTTTCCACCTCAAGAGGAAACCCTCCAAAGCATCGGCTGCAGAACTGATGGGGTCAGGGGCATGATTTAAAAAGCCTGGCGTTTTAGCTGTTGCAGGTTGCCCTGGATGAATTCAAACTGGATGTTTCAGGCAGTTTCCAATGTTCCTGCTACGAGGATTCGGGCTTGTAGGCTGTATAGCAGCTACATACGGTTCGCGGCATGTAAGGGCAAGGTTTGGGGTTAAGGGTCTAGGGGATTAGGCCTGCAGGGTGTAATTATGGCTCAGGGTCTACAGGGCTTTCTGGCTTCGAGGGTTTGGAGTTTAGGTAGGCCTCAAGGCCTTAGGGACCCTAAGCATTAGGATTACTTGGAGGTTCATGGGTAGCTACTAGTGGAGTTGTAAATTCCATGTGGGTTACAACTATACGTAATATCGGGTGTGTGGACGGTGCGCGGGGGAGGGCGGGGACAAGGGGCAGGAGCGCGATATCGGGTCGGCGGAGGCGTTCGTCATGCCACTGTGCGAAGGGCGATCCCACCCTGAACCCAAGACATCAAAACAAGAATGCTGCGCTGCATAGCTTGCACCGCCTAAGCCAGAGAGCAAATCGGGACTTTGACAAAGAACAAATCGCTCGAGCAGAAACCCATTCGAGTTATTTGCTGCTTCTTGTTGGGTCTGGATTACTTGACAGTGATTCATGTACACAACACGAGCTTGCAGGGCAACACCCTAAACCCTCAACTCCTAAACCCCTAAACCCTGAACCCGGCAAAGCATAGTCAAAGCAGCTGAGCTGTGCACCATCCGCTTTCGGACTGAAGCGTAATGTTGGGGCGTGAGTAGTTAGAAGCCCTCCCTTTGCTGTAACAGCGCTTGCCAACCCTCTTCTTTGCTGGTATGAAACTCAATGCCGACGTTTGTGCGGTGGCTGGGTTGCCAATGAGGGGGGTGTTCGACGCGTGTTTTTCTCCCTTCGTTTGTGACCGGCCGAGTAAATGCCCTGGTACTAGTCAGAAAACTCATGCTCGGTGCGATGCTGCCTTGATTCAAGGAGGTAGCCTGACCCTCCCCTGAACTTCCAAAGAGATTGCAGCTTGCGCCTTGTGGGCCACAACCATGGCCAACCCATGCTCGTGGCAAGCACCAGCGCCACGAATGCCACGATTATTGCTCATACGACTGTTGTCCTGCCTAGCAATAAAGAAGTGAATGATTGTCATTGGTGGTGCGGTTAGTGTGTTTTTATAGGTAAATGGTTTAGGCAGCGTTTCTATTGTGACTATGATTGGTCGTCGTGTCCTTCTTTTCCTTCTTACATGCGCATGTACAGGGATGGGGCGTCAAGGAGGAATGGAACACCAGGTTACATGTACAATCTGTATAATGTATATGCTATGGTCCGTGCCGAGAACCTGACCTACCCGCAAAAACGCTGCAGCAACAAATCTACCCTCCCAAAATCGATCGTCCCAGCTCAAGTCTGCGGACAAAGCGAACTTGGCCTTGTCGCACCCCAGGCATGAGCACACATCGTCCACCCATCATGGCGCGGGTCTGAAACCACACTTACTACCACCCATAGACCCCTGTAGTATTGCACACAAATAGAAGCAGGCTCTTTCCTAGGTGATAAGGGAGATTCCAAACGGCAGAGCAGCTCAAGCGGCTTGGTGTGAACACCCTTGAAGAGCTCTGCCTGGGCGCCGTTTCTCTGTCGTGCACCCCATCTGCTGCCGCACTGGTCGGGTTACAGAGCGAACCTGCACCAGAAACAAAATGCTTATCCGAGTTCCTTGACTGTGCACAACCGCAGGTTCATCCTGGTGGATGCGGATTGCATCCGGTGACACTGGCCGAAGCTGTTCCCTACACAAGCATCTGGCACACGAGCTAGAAGGGGTCGTCCTTCACCCCATGCATTCCCAGTAACTAGTAACACTTCCGACAGTCATGTAACTTGTGACACTTCCGACAGCCAAGACAACCTCTTCCTTGCCGCGCTTGAGGCGATGGTCAGGGCCGAATTTGAGCCCTATCCCTGCATGCCGCCATCGCTCTTCATGGACTTCCCGGCTCGGATAACCTTTCGCGGACATTCAAGGTTGTGCAGCGGCCACAACAAGAAGAGAGACGGTTGCGGCTGCTGCCGAAGCGGAGCAATCCTCTCTCCAGCCTTTACCTTCAAACCCTTGCAACCCTGCCCCTCGAAGCTCCGCAGGCTGAAAAAAGAATACCGGGCCTCGTCCACGAGCAGTAACTGTTCAGCCAGCACTGGCGCCTCAGGTCACCCAATTGGAGCCCGAAAGGAAGGAAAGCCGAACAGTTGGAACAAGCCTTTGGACGGACATGCTGCGTTTTGTAGGCGAGCTTGCCTGCGGTGCTCCGCTTGGTGGTGCCGCTGGAGGTGAGTGTAGCACTTGGCTTGAAGATGGCAGATCTGGCACAGCCGTAATCAGACCCGGACCAGACCAAGCATCTGTTTTTTCACCAGGAAGTTGTCGTAGATACCTGAGAAACAGTGTCGCGTCCTGTGAACTGTTGTGCAATCCTCTTGCAATTGCTACAGCACATGTGACACACACTGCTCTGCCAATCCTTCTTTCCAGTCCGATTACAATAGGCTGAGGCCCACGACCCTCGATGGCTGGATCGATGGGGTCGCCACTGGCCACACTGACGCCAACCTCATGCGCCAACGCAATTCAAGCAAGCGTTCTGAGCAAAGCAACAGGGCCAGAAACCTGAAGCTGAATTCGACGGTCCCAGCAGTGATGCCCAGCAAAACAAAATCCCGCCTAAAAGCAAGGAAGCTCAAACCCCACCCTGCTAAGGCCACCGCTACCCTGTGTTTGTTCTCACGGTCTGCCAGCACTCTAAGCAGTTTGTCCTGGCTGCAGGAATTCAGGTCTTCCCATTAAGCTTTTGAGGCTAAACTAACTTCTGGCCCTGCAACGCAATCCCAGCAGACATCGAATGATGGCGGCCTCGGATAGCGGACCTGAACCCTGAGAGAAGCAAGCGGCTAGCACCGTAAGCAGCGGAAGCATGGTTGGGCGCTTGTTGGGGAGCTGCGGATCTCTTGACTGGGCCCTTCGTATGTGGTGAGAGATTGACGAGTGTCTTTACCTTTCGTGCAGTAGACCCTAGCAAACGGCATCCAGGAAAGTTCTACACGAGCCCGGGCAGAGAGCTTAAATAGATCGCAGCCTGGACATCCAAGCCAGAGTTTTCCAGGAGTGTCTTCGGCACCACTAGCAGCGCCTTCGCAAAAATTTCCACCTGGGAGCCATTGCGGCTGATCACCATCATGGTCATGATCGTGGACATGGTGCGTAGGTGAGTATCGCAACAGTCCAGCAACATCACTTCTATCCACAATATTGTAAAGGTTCAAATTGACATAGCCTCCCTGAGGAGGCAGGCATTCACACGGAGCTAGGCCACGGACTCCTAAACGCGGCTTGCCCTCCACAGTTCGCTTGAACTGCTCCAGGTGCACATGAGCGGCGATCTGAGGCGCAACTTGCTCTGAGAAGACTGGAGCTGACGGGTGGGAGGCAGCGAGCTGTGTGAGTTCGGGCAGTGTGGTTATGCATGCGAACACCCAGCACTTCCCCTTCAAGCCCTAAATCACAGGCTTCGACAGCTTCGTAACAACGTTCCTGAATGCTTACCTGCCGTACACCCTTCAAACGGTACTCCACACCTGGCCAAGCCCTCCGAACTTTACCGACCCATTGCCTCAAAAGCTCCTGCGCCGGGCACGATGGCCTCTCGAGCGAAAGGGTGTAGGGACAGCTTCATGTCAAAGCTGCTGCCGTCGTTGTATACTGCTTTTGCTTTAGCTGTTGCTGCTGTCGGTGTGCTGCTTGTTCTGCTGGTGCTGCTGCTCTTGCTTTGCATATAGATAACGACGACGATGGGATGGTGATGGTGGTGATGGTGATGATGATGATGATGATGACCATGGCGCTGATGCTGATGGTGCTGATGCTGGTGCTCGTGCTTGCTGCCGCCAAGGCTGTTGAGTACTGCTATCACTGTGCTGCTGCCGACTGGTCTTATCAGAAGTGTCAGCTTGAAGAAGGTCGCCTCATCCTCGACGCAGTTCTGTGTGGCACGCAGCCCGTCTTTGATGGCGTCCTGCAATAGCACAGAAGGCTTCCAGGCTTCAGCGCCCTACACAGAATAAGCAAACATCCCGACTTTCCGACATGAGGCCTTCATCTGCGCGATCGCGTGATCCGTGGAGCCCTGGATCAAGACCGTGCAGCTGTGCGGATTCTTCACCTCAGCCCAGAACATCGAGAAGGGCATCTCTGCATCAGTGAACGCACGCTGATCCAACTCCGTGGCTGGCAAAATGCAAATTCAAAGACACTAACAGGTCCTGAAGCTCAACTTTCGAGCTCTGGACGCCCTCGATGAAGGTGAACTTGTCATCCTCCGGGTTGCTGCACTTCATAAGAGCAAGGAAACCAGTCGTTAGCCCCCAGCCACTGGAAAGTCATCATTCCCGACTTGTGAGTGTGGGTTTCACCGTGCAGGATCGGCGAAGGATGTGGGCAAGAGTGGGCCTGACCATGGACCTCAGTCACCGAAACACGGTGGACACATCAGGGTTTAGCATCGGGGCCAGCGGGCAGGGGATTAGAAGTTTGGGAGGCAAGGGGTTCAAGACTCTCGACGTACCCACCGCCTTTGAACCAACTCCTGAAACCGCGAGCGCGACACCCCAAGCCCAAAGCTCCTCGAAGCTATACTCCAATCCCAGACGGCCAAGCCCCAAGCTGCAACACTACATGATCCCAGACCCCAGACTCAACCTCCAGCGACTGCTCGTAGACGAGGTCGGCATAGCCTCAAGCCATGGCATTCGAGGCGTCAAGCCCTTGACGTCGAACAGCTCCAGCAGTTGTGACGAACCCAAACCATGTTCCATTTTGGCTCTTGGAACACGGACGCTTCCCTAAGGGCTTGGGCATTTTTGGTTGAAGGGGTGGAGTGTGGCCGTTTCGTTTCAGACAGGGGCTTTTGGCGCTGGGTTCGGGGATGATCATAGTATCACGTTCGATCTCGCTGGAGGCTTGCTGCTCTCGCCGATGATTAACAGGCATGCAACAAGACGCGGGATGGTTCAGGTTTTCACTATGATATGCTACGACCGGTCATGCTGCAGTTCAACATGAACCCGTATGCCACATCCCCCCCTTACAAAACCGCGTTCAAAGACCCAACATGCCAAGTGCCGGGCCCAGGTCATCGAGATCTAGGTCATCTACGGAGTTCACGGCCTGGCCACCGCAGGCCAGAGGGAGGCGCCTCGGAGGCAGAGCAAGCCTCTCAACTGTGATGATAACACTGCGATATAATCGTCATATTCACATTGATATGAATACCAATATGCTAGGATTAGAAATAAGAATACTCGGAATACTAATAATAGCAGTAGCAATAGTGGGAACCTATTTCCGTGGGACCTGGGGTATTATAAAAAACATATGCAACTACACGTGCAATACACAGAGACCTGGACCGTTCGAGGCATGCGTACATTGTTTGCATGTTTTGCACGTCCGTGCAGATTTGTGTGGTTGTATGCCTAACTACCAAGTCCAGTCCCATGCACCGTCGTCCAAGGTATAGGGCTTGAAGGCATAGGGTTAGCGCCCAGGGATGCCCAGGGTTTAGACCAATAGTGTCAAGGTTAACCGGTTCTGGCCATGGCGCGAAGACGAGCGGCATTGGTAGCATGATCGCTGAAATTCACCGGGAAACACATGTAGTGGTTGTCATGCGACAATCTATCCAGAATCCATGTTTCAGTTCTTATGCGGCATTGCGATATGGGAAGTGTCTCTAAGTTCCTCTCACCGGGACTTCTGTTACCAGGCTCCAGATCTGCGAGTAATCTCTCTTCGAACCTGCTCCCTGCTGCATGCTACCAAGTCTTGTCTCCGTGTTCTTGCTAATGGCGACAAGCATGATGAACATGCTGGTGCTGATGCTGGTGCTGGTGCTGATGCTGCTGCTGATGATGAGTGCGGGTGACTGTGATGAAGGAGATGATACCGATGATGCTGACGATGATAATGATGATGGTGATGATGATGACGACGGCGAAAAATAGTATAATGATGATGATGATGATGCTGTGGCTAAGGCCGACGCATATAGATATAGTGAGACAGATGCCCTTCAAGGATGAGTGAGGTGAGGAGGATGAAGATGAAGCGAGGAGGAAGAGGATGGCAACAGTGACGATTTTCTGTTGGTAAAGAGTAGCCATAAAGATCACGACTACGACGAAGATGATTGTCACGAGTGTGATGAGAATGATTGTCAAGATGGTGATAAAGAAAACGATGGCGACAATGATGGCAATAACTTCGCCGACGAACATAGATATGACAAAACATGTTTGCAGCTACTGTGGCGTGATCTTCTTTTGATGCTAAATAGGTCCTCTAATCTGGCTTCCGGGTACAGGAGCTTGCCCTGCCATCCAGCTCAGCAAACAAAACTTGGGGGCTTTGATTCAGCAGTCGAGGTTCGAGATCGTGGCACAAGATATCACCGAACATGTATTGAATTGTCGTGCGGTGAGGAGTCGTTAGAAGATCCCTGCCCAGCTGTTGTGAGCCGCAGTCATGAATACGAGGCCCGGACTCCATATTTCGGCGCTTTGCGCGGCGGAGAGCAATGATGCCCTGGCAATGCCCATACAGAGTGGAGGAAAGAGAGAGCAACGTTTCACAGATTGCACATTGTCATCATCATCACCATCATCGTCAGGATCATCTAAATTATCAACAGCATCATGTCCTCATCGTTCCGGCAGCCAGAGAGCTACCTCCGTGAGATGAGGGACAGGCCCTTCTTCCCATTACTCCGACTGCCACCGCTGCTACTGCTACCAGGACTACTGCTACTACTACTACTACTACTACTGCTGCTGCTGCTGCTGCTGCTGCTGCTGCTGCTGCTGCTGCTGCTGCTGCTGCTGCTGCTGCTGCTGCTGTTGCTTTGCATGCACAACCGCTCACGAGCGACCTAGTGTAAGAAGCCGGCAACGCATATGCATTGGCTCCTCTGGGGAGCGCACAAGGCCCGAATAACAGAAAAGAATGCTATAAACATAGCAAATCTGTACCATGGAACTTCGGTTCGTCCCAACAGCAGCATCGTGCCGACAGCACCAAGCATACTACTGTGTCCCCGTAGGCGAGCCGTCAGCTCCAAGCCCTACGAGTAGGACAAAACACACAACTTGTGCGACTCAGGAGTTGACTTGAACGTTCTGTACAGCATTCATTCAACAAGCTGATTACACAGGCTATCAGAAATCAGACTGAAGGAGATCCCATCGCCGATAAGAGTGACCTCCAAGCGTACATCCAAGGCAGGAACATAATGCACTGTAATTTGCCCTCTCCACGCCATCCAGCCTGTGAGAGGCTCTAGACATTGCACCTCAGAAAATTTGCACACACGACCAGGTGACACCACAATAGGTGAAGCATACATATAGACTGCGATTGGTCAATCTTTTGCACCAGTCTGTACAGCTCGCCCGCTCAGCATCTATTGCAGCGGTGACAGCTGCTATGCCATGTCAAAATCCGGATGAAAACCCGTTTCACACAGGAGCTTTGAGTCATCACACTTAAGGAGACTCGTATGGCGCACATGGTATCCGATCAACACAAGCCGATCACCTCCCCATGGAACTGTAGCATGCTCGGCCCGCGGCTCGAATCTGGTTGGCGTGTCCGTTGGCATGACCCTTCCTGCATGACCCTGCATGGTGAGATACACGGATCCTTGATCATCTTGTATCCAAAGTCCTCCTCCGACACAAGTGGAGCACGGAACCGCAAGATTCCAGCTTCCCCTGGCATTGAATTTGTCGCGATGAGGCCTTGCCACAACATTTCGAGCAAAGGTCAGCGTGCTAAAGCGATGCTGCGTGTCAATGTGCCTGATGATATGCGCTAACAATCGACTGACCACCGGAAACCTGCTCATTGTGTTGGTTAGCCCTTAGTATGGGCCTCTGGCATAGGCCCCAGTCATAAAGGACTTGGCCGGCATCACTCCCTGATCCTGCTGATCCCACCGTAGCTTGCCATCACCAGGTAAAGCATCCATGATGTCGGCTAACACCTTCCAGGGCACCTTCCCAGCGCGCAAACACTGGGCTGCAAGCACCTCCGCCCCATGAGCATCAGGAGAAAGGTCGACTGGAATTGACGGCACAAGGTACTGCTGATTCTGCAGACACTCGCGTAAAAGCATGCCATCCGCCGCATAAACAGAAGTCAGAACACATGGAGGCCCAATACATCTTTGAATTTTGTTCGGTTGTAGGACCTCGCACTCCGATTCCGATGAAATGGCCATCACCACATCATCATCCGGCTCCTGCGCGATCGTCCCTGGCTTCGCTTCCGGCAATCTATCCTTCTGCGTCAACCCAAAGTATCGGTGCAGTCCTTGTGGGCCCCGGGGTTCGCGCTGGGACCGAAAATAAGCATGAAGCCCACTCATGGCTTGGCCCCGCCCGCCCAGGAACTAGCACAACTGCACTCTGAGGTAGCCAGCTGGAAGACCGTCACGAAAAGGGCTCGGCGCTCTGCACTCCAGGATACACTGCTCAAGAAGTATCTCACATCAGCATGTTCGAGACTGAGCATCAAGCAATGAATCGGCAGCTGCATGTAATACTCGCCCAAACATAACCTCAGAGGCAACACGATGCGACATAGCTCCGCTCTCCACCCCTCGTTGAAAGCCACGAAATTATTCAGCGCAAACACCGTGTGGGATGTGCAGCCTTCTCATGGGTCAATGTGGCAGTTCTGTTGACCGCCATCGACCACGTTCGAGTCGATCAATGATGACAAAAGAGCTGTTGCTACCGCTCTCAAAAAGAAGCCCGTTCTCCACCCTGATCTGGAATGCGTTCTGGTCTGAATCTAGTAGAAAATGAAGGGCAGAGGATGCCAAGTAGGAGTGACCGAGCATCAAAACCACGCACAGATGTCGCACCGACAGTGCCAAGCACACCTGCAATCAAAATGGTACATCAGCCGACTCAATACAGCAATTTACTGATTTGATTCGCCAGCTGACTCCGGGAGCTCCTTTCTTTACGAATTTCAATGCCAGAAACCATGGTCGATCCGCATTGGCATAGCTGACTCATGTCCGCATACATCTGCAGTCCCCTTTCGTTCTGCAGCGAAAACTGCAACAGGAATGCCACGGTTCCTTCCGGCATCTGATCCGTGATCGGCCTGGTCGGGCGAAATCTCAGGAGTGCCTCCACCGTGCTGCACTTGGTCATCATTTCTTGAAGAATGGCCATCGCATCATCGTACAACAACGTGGGCCCCTCTTCATCAACCACCCTCTTCTTGAGCTTGGCATCCCAACGCAGCTTCTGGAAGGAGTTCTCCTTCAGCCAGCCCAACTTGATCATGCTGGCTCTTCTCTGCTCATCCTCCTTGAGAGTCTGCAGCCGGTCGTGCATCTCTTTCACCAGGCAACTGAACAGCACGGAGCGGAGCGGGCGCTTCACCTGTTCCGGGTTTGTCTCACGCAACTTTTGCCATTCGGATTTGGCAGCAAATAGCGCAGGCACCAGAGAGCCAGGAATCCCAGCTCGTACAAAGAGCACAAAGGAACTCTCCGCTCGCCACAGGTTCACCGCATCCTCGTGCCGCAAACACAGTCGAGCAATCTGAAAGACCAGAGCCTTGAGCTCCGCAAGCTCCTTATTCCCGTACTCATCATCTCTCCATGAGGAGGAGCCCCACGGACGTCGTCCCCCATTGCCATTGCCCCCTCCATTGCCGCCTCCCTGATGTCTGGATCTTCCGCCGCGGTTTCCGAAGCCTTGGCCCGAGCTTGTGCCACCTCCGCCTCCCCATTTGAGGAGGTCTGAGTCGCCGCCTTTGCTCTGATCGCCCGCTGGTGGCGCATCAGTGTCAGCCGCATTGGTGCCAGAAGCAGGCGCCGGATCTTTGCCCTCTCCCTCTTGCCCTCAGGTCGACTAAACTTGGGCGCCCGATCCTTGTCCAGTGCCTCCGCCTCCCCCGTCAGCCCCCTGTTTGAAGGCGTTCCATATCTGGAGCTCCAACTCCGTCTCCATGGGCGTCTCTAGCTCCGCAAGCGCAGTCATGCCGTGCTATCACTCCGTATGGGATGCGGGGGCTGCCGTAGGCCTTTTCCGGAGCCAAACTAGATACAGATTGCGCTGATGCTCTCTACCCGGTTCGCAAGCCACCGCCGCCACTCCATCGTCAGTAATGAGCCAGCTGCAACCGTCTCTGAGGATCGAGCGATAGTGTCCTGCATGTGGCGACGGTCCATAATGTAGAACGCCTGCGCACAGCTCATAGGGAACCCACTGCAGCTCGCCATCGGAACCAAAGACCGGCACATTGACTTGTTGCCTAAATCGCACCTGCGCTCTCGATTTGCCTCGTTGGGGGAACCTGCCGAGCTGCACAATCACCGTCTCCTGTGCCCAGATCAGCGCATGGGTTTGCGCCAGCCCCGACCATGCACTCATAAGCTCCTGGATATCCGTCGCTCCGTTCGGTAAGTCCAGAAAAATGATACCTGATCCAGAGTCCGTCACTTGTCGTACTCCCCGCACATTGATTCTCGCCTCCCACGCCACATACGCGTACCCCGCCTTGCGGAGCAGGAAATCCGTGAATTCAGCTGCATCCCTTTGCCTCGGATCCAAGGGCCACCCCTGAAATACATGTCGAAGCCCAAAGTGCGCTGAAAGAGTAAGTTCACCACTCCGAACTTGACGTATGACCGAATACACCTGCTCAAGCAACCTCGGCATAGTCAGATACCCATGTGCATGCAGCATAGCGAGAATACTCGCGTTCACATAACAGAGCTGATGAGGATTGCGAAGTCGAATGGTAGCAACAGTGTGAGGCTGAGCAACCGCACTGGAGCCAGCAGACGGCACCACTGCACCTTCCGTCACCTGTGCAGGAGAGCTCTGTACCACCATTTCAGTACTGGACGCTCCGCTGCGCGCAATCTCCCGGGTGGCCTCCTCGTCTCCACTCTGTGGTACCGCAGAACATAGCTGCGCATGGATGCCCGTCCTCTCTAGAACACGATATTGCCGCTCCTTCTCGTGCTGCTTGAGTGCCGGACCTCTGGTGCCATGAAGATGCACTCCAAGTATGTTCCTGCGCCATAGACATCGTGCAGCCAGAACCTGGAAGAACGGAGAGCACCGCGTAGCATGATTGTTAGAATCCGAGGACCCGTACTTGGCCATACTCCCGCAGTGCTGACACGGTCTCCTGAACGTGGCTTTCAGGCTACGTGCTGCAGACTCCGCATCGCTTTGCACCAACTTCCATGCCTCGCCATGCGTGGTTTGCCAGTGCTTCTTGATGCTTCCAGTCGCCTTCACCTGTTGCGAGCACAAGATGCATTTCTTGTCGTATTGCCGAATGAGCGCAGAATGATGAGGAAGATCCTTATCACCACATTCCAGGAGTTCCCGCTCAATGTCACCCGGAGTATGCGCCTGCTGCACAGTGGCCGTCGGCGGTACCGGTGGCGATGTGACCTCATCGGCTTTAACTTGCTCCATCAGTGCATCAATGCTCATGCCCTCCGCCGCCGCCAGCTTTAGCCTAGGACAACGACCCTCGGTGATGTGTCGCTCCATGGAAGCCCAGTCGTACAACTGGCCACGGCACAATCGACATTGTGGGAGCCCAAAGAGAGTATGATCCCTTCTGTCAAAGCTTGCTCGCGCCTGCAGTGCAGGTGGATCTCGGCATGGCTCGCCGTGTAATGTGCCTCAAGGCTCTTTTGACTTCCAAACTCGAGACCACATACTTTACATACGACGACCACTGAGTTATCCCGGTCCACCTCGACAAGTCCAGAGCTTTGCAATGAAGAGATTCGATCAAGTTCCTGTAGCACATCTTGCAATCTAGCTGTTGCTCGCTGAGACAATGTCGGAGATTGCATTGTGCTCTGCTCCAAAGTCCGCGCCTTGGCCGCGATCATATTGCGCAGAATGTCGCTCGGCTGTATCTCTGCACGATGAAGGACCTCTTCATTGGTGACTCCATGCTGATATACGCGTAGGAGCTTTCGCAACATCCGGGCAAGAGTCGAGACAACTGTGCGAAGGCTAGCCGAACTAACCCCAACCCCGACAATCCCATAGAGCAGGGCCGTAACCACACATGCTCTGAACATTCTCAGCCTCTGCTTCAGACTGAAGTCGGAGGCCGTACGAAGCATTGGCCTGAGTTTGGCGAAATTTGCCCAGGCTTTGGCTGCCCTGACTTGCACCGTCTGAGCCTCCATGGACCCATAAGAGAGCACCGCCCCCAGGTATTCCATCTGATCCTGTACAGGTAGGTACACATCACGGCCAGTGTTCGGGTCGGTGCCAATCCAGAGCACCTGTTTATTGCCCTGCCACTTGAGATAGCGGCTCTTCAAGCTTTTGGCTTCCCTTCCCCGAAGTGTGAGTACTGCAACAGACTTATCAAAGTTGATGCTCATGCCAGCTCGATGTAGCAGCTCCACTATGCGCAAGATGTGCTTTCTCGCCTCCATGAACTCAGCCACCGTACTTATCTCCCAGTGCCCATGAACATCATCCGCAAAGAAACTTGTATGTTCATTGCACCAGCTAATACCCAGCGTCCTGCACAGCAAGATAGTCCATGATGAGTACACGCTTGGCGCGAGCGGACACCCTTGGCGGAGTCCACGCTTCATGGTCACACTGATCTCTGTGCCCCCGTGTCTCACTACGCATCGAGACTGCCTATGCACCTCTACAATAAGTCTTGCAAGATTGTCTGGCACGTTTATGGAGCGCAATCCGGCATACATCTCATGGAAAGGCAGGTAGTCAAAAGCCTTGCTCAAATCCAGACTTATCATCACCCCTCCACACAACTCGGGCAAGGCTCCAGTGGCAGCTTGACGGAGACACTTGTGTTCACCTCCCCAAGAGCAGCGCGTACCCTACGACAATGCGAACTGCCGCGTAGAAGAGCATCAATGGTGCTAGACTGGGGTCTGTAGGCAAATTGAGGAATGTCCCATAATCCCTGCATGAGCTCGGCCTGCATCGCCTCCTTCAGTACCATCATGAACATTTTGGTATCACCAGCCATCAACCCAACTGATCTGAGGTTTTCCGGCTTACAGGGGCACTTCTTGGGTTTAGCCAGCCATGCCAGCTGCACTACCGTCCAATCCTCCGGTATGCTGGGGTTATCACAACAGAGCATCTGACACGCAATCCGGTGCACCTGCGGCACGATGAGCTCACCATGTTGCTTCCAATTCCTGAGAGGTGGCGTCTGATTGGGCGCAGCCTTTTCAGCCTTCAGCTTCCTCCACGCAGAGCTCCACTTATCAAGAGAAAGAACCTCATAAGGAATACGTTGTAACTGGAAAGGCTCAGTGGAGGCCGCCCCAAAGAGCGCCGCCGCATACTTGGCCAACACTTTGCACTCCGACTCACCATTCATGAGATTGCCTTTAGCATCACGAAGACGGATTTTTTGTGAGTGCCTAGATGGACAAAGTAGCCTGACCACGCCATAAACTCCGCGTACATCATTGCGTTGCGCTGCATCTTCCGCTTGACATAGCAGCTCCAGAGTTCTCCGCCGCTTACGCGCTCGCAGAGCTTTCTTGAGGAGTCTATGTGCTTTCAGATACTGCAGTTTCGTTTTAAAGTACCTGAAAACAAACACAAATCCATAGCCAAGTAGCGATGCTTGCACATTGAGCTTGCGTCGCAGCCGCCAGCATGCTGCCACATCGACCTCAACCGATGTTGGCTCAGGCCGAACAGGGACCTCAGGACGTTGTCCTCCAGCCAGTTGAACCGCATCCCTAAGTTCGCTGATCTTCGGTGGAGCGTCGCTCTGTTGAATAGACAGCAGCTTTTGAGTTGAGACTCCACGTGTAGGTTCGCTTCGCCTTGGCTTCAGAGTCCATGGCGTCCACTTGAAGGGCACCGTGCCCACAAGTGGAAGGTGACCTGTTGTGCGCCATCCAGCCATTGTGGTTTTAATCGGTCTGGTCAGTTTCGCCTGTCCATCAGCAACAGACTGCCGTACGCAGACAAAGTCTATCTGACTCTCCCCTTTGGCATGGACATATGTGGCTGCCTGAGACTTCTTGCCCCACGTGTTAAGAGTAGACAGGCGATGCCGCTTCAGAACCTGAAGCAGCTGCTGTTGATCCTCAGCCTCTTTATCCCCAAGCTCCTTATGTAGCAATCCAAATCCGCTGACCTTCGGTTCCCGAACCACCGCCGTGTTGAAGTCACCAGCCAGTACAATGTGCGACCGCGCTGGTAGCGAGGCAAGCAAAGCATCCAGTTTGTTCAGTAGTCTGCGTCTGTGCGTAAACACACTCTCAGTCTGTCCCGCTTTTTGCAGATAGGCATGCTGATACACCCCCACTACATCAATCTGTTGCTTTTCCAGAAAGCACCGGACCTGAAGGATCCGCCCTGGCTCAGCTTCCTGCCATCTTATGCTTGAGGAATCCGAGAGATGAGCCCTGATCCCCACAAGAATGCCCCCGCTGCCCTTGCGTCCCGTAGCTGAATGACAAAAGTGCCACTCTGATGTGCTCCAGTCCATTGTGGTATCCCAGTGTGTTTCTTGCAAAATGATGATGCTAATGTCTTTCTGCCCCTCCTGTTGTAGCCATTGCTTCAGCTCGGTGAACAGAATGTCTGATAATCCTCCCACGTTCCATGACACAAAACGAATTCTAGGTTTTACGCTCGCCTCATCAGGCTGAACCGGAAGTATCGGCCCATCCGAAATCAAGCGCCTGCCCCTGTACATAGTTGTTCCATGCAGCTGTGCACGTCGCAATGCTCGTTTATACGACCTCTTGCGAATACGAGAAAATTTGACCCCCGAGGTCAGTGCTGAGGCTTCCTGGTTCCCTCCTAAGTTCGTTGCCGTGGCAACTTCAGGTTTCCCGGAGGGGAGAAACCAACCCTCGCGCCGGCAGTCTCCGATAGAGCCTTTCTGTCCAGCCATGTACTATGCCCCCGGACTTGGGACCGGGATGAGTATACGGATATAAGATCGTCTCGCAATGGCTCCCAGCAGATGTCAGTCGTAGACGCTGTACGGCCCACAAGCATAGCCCTCTCGGCTCTGAACGACCAAGAGACTGCAGTTCCACCACAATTGCAAAGCCCCGCTGGAACACTACAAACGTTCAGATTGCGGGACAGGAGCCTTCTAGAGAGCTTACGTTCCTAGACAGGCCCACAGTTTCAAGGACGATCCTCAGGCTTGGACCACTCATGGCGCTTTGCTGCTGCTGCTGCTGCTGCTGCTGCTGCTGCTGCTGCTGCTGCTGCTGCTATCACTGACTCTTCTTCGTCTTCTTGTTGATGCTGTTGTTGCTGTCGCTCCTACTGCTAATAAGTGAAGGAGCAGTGGCAGTTGCATAGCAGTTGAACATCACTAGCTTATAAGAAATACGAGATGCGTCCACAGCAGTTACATCATACATCCATTGCACGTAGCAGCTGGTACATGCATCTGTCGGTATTGACCGCCAGCAGCATTCATGGCAAATGCGATGCTAGTCTTTTCTGATCGCGGTATATGTAGCGGATTCCAGGTGCGTTCATGGCAATCTTGCCGCCAACGTCGGTGGCTCCTGTTTGGAACATACTGCAGCTGTTGTGCAGACTTTGGCCTCCCAAGCTGGATCTCGAGCAAATTGCCACCTCACGCGGCGAAGCCTCATCCTGTCTAGTGCGTCTTAGAATGCTTCTGAGCCTTTCTCACAAAAGGGCTCCGCAGGTGTAGTGTAGCTTAAGCTGGTGCACGCAGTGCAGTCCATGGAATGCAGTCCAGAGACGTACCACCGGTGCACGTATATTTCTATGGTACAGACACGATGGATCTTCTGAAAAGGTCGGTGATACGGTGATACCTGCGGCACCAGCACGCCCACTTTTGTCCGGCTACCGAATTGTATGGTCGAGCTGCACACAACAAGACGACAACACAACGAAAGACGGCGAAGACACAACGTCTCGATTCCCACTTGGAACCTGCAGCTCGAGGTCTAAATCGATCAAATGATCTGGGTGGTTGCTCAAGGCTAGAAACCAGGAGTGCCTGCCGAAAGTCTGTGATCTGCTCTATATAATAGGTAAATATGTCTATAATATAGAGTTTATATATGTATATATGAACATCAGAGGCCCAGGGGAGTCCCGAAGCGCTGACTTAGAGCCTCAGGGAACTCCACGCAACCACGTCAGGGATCGGCCCCTTCCCCTCCCTTAAGGAAAGGGCCATCATTGCTTCAAAAAGCGGGGGCTGCGGCACAAACCCTAAACCTTCTACCCTAACTCAGAAGCTGGGATTCTGCCAAGCCATAAGCCAGAACTAAGAACCAAGGCTTATCAGCGCTTCAGGGGTTTTTTCAGTTTCGGGGCTGGAGGCCTAAGACTGGAAATGTTTCTAGAAGCTTCCGACCGAAGTGGCAGCCTCTCCGAGGCCTACGTGCCCGTTCTGCTGATGGGCGCTTGAAGCCCTACATAAAACCATGTTAAGGGTTTAAGGTTTAGGGTTTAGGGTTTAAGGTTTAGGGTTCGCCAGCGCAGCGTGGCGCCCAAGCCAACTGCCTCTGTAGTGGGGCTGCCCTAACATCCAATCTCGTCAAATTGGAAGTTTTCAAAGCTTCGTTTCGAGTGAAGTTTCAAACAAGGTGTTTAATCCTTCTGCTCGCATGTGGGTTTGGTTGAATTTGCCCAGCCCAGTCTCCGCGGTGCCCCGCCCTCCAATCTCTTCATATGCGCAGAATCGGTTCGCGGATGGGATTGGTCGAAACGGATGTTTTCAAATTTTCGCTTCGAGCGAGCTCTGCTCGCAATGTGTTTGGTTAAATTTGCAGCCCCCAGCCAGCGCCTCAGCCTCCAGCCCCAGCCCCAAACCCAGCCCCCCACCCCAGCCCCAACCCCAGCCCCAGCCCCAGCCCGCCTCAGCCTTCAGCCCCAAACCCAGCCCCCCAGCAGCCCCAAGCCCCCCAACCCCAGCCCCCCGCGCGCCACCCCCACCTCCATCCCAGACCCCAGCCCCAGCCCCAGCCCCAGCCCCAGCCCCGGCCCAGCCAGCCCCAGTTCCTCACAAAAGCTTCATCGCCTCTCTTCAAATCGCAAAATCGGTTCGCGGCTGGCCTTGGTCGAATCGGAAGTTTTCACATCTTCGCTTCCAGCAAGGTTAAATTTGCAGCCCCCAGCCCCAGCGCTTGCCCTAGCCCCAGCCCCAGCACCAGCGCCAGCACCAGCACCAGTTTCAGCCAGCCCCAGCCCCAGTTCTTCACAAAAGCTTCATCCACAAAAGGCCCAAGTCTTCCAAAGGTTTAAGTAAATGGGCTTGAATCTCTGTTGACGTTGCTTCCTACAATGAAAACAACAAATGCTGCGCTGGCGCACAAGGGCGCAGCCCCTAAAAGTTTAGGGTTTAGGTTTTTTTTGAGCACCTTTTTCCACCTACTCTAGCTGCACCATACTATCTGTACATCTGTGATGGCCGCAGCCCCTCTGTCACGAGTCTCTTCCCGCCTCGGTCCAATCACACCTGGAACGCCGGCTCCAGACACCGTGGAAACCTCTTGCGGCTTGGAGTTTTATGGCTAGTTTGAGGGATTGTCAGACCTGCCCAGAGCTCTTTTGGATGATGTTTAGCAAGTTGGGTTTACATTGCGGCAAAAACTCACAACTTCCTAGGACGATAGCAGGCACAATGGATTAACCATCTTACTGCCAGCAATACCAGAGCAATACCAGAACTCATGCTGAAGATTTGAGCAAAGCTTGGCAGGAATTCACTGGGTTGCTGAATCGATGGAGTCCCGTGTGCTCTCTCCTCGCTTGGCTTGATCACGTCTACGGCTTTGGCATAGTGTTCGAGTGTGCTGTTTGCTACACTCGACTGCATTTCCTTCACCAGTGTGCTGCATTGCATGACGGTAAATCCTTCGTCGCACTGTACAAGATTGTTTACGTCTGGTCCAACAATTGTTTAGCTTTCGAGGTCGTACCACAACTTAATGGAGGCCAGTTTGTCGATGAGAGGTGAAGCGGAGAAAGAATATTCTGATCAAGATTTCGGATGGGTGGCCACAAACCCCTCCCTATGATCATCGCCGGCAGCTGCTACTAGCAGCGGTGATTCTACCACAACTACAGCGAATGGTCAATACCGAATAGCTGCGACAACCCTGATAGTGAGAGCACCTTCAATCTCAGTACAACGACAACACTGCTCACCTCCCCCTTTTCCCCTCCCCCCGATGCCTTGAAAGCTTAAGAAAGAGTTGAAGATGTCGGCACTGCCTAGGACGCCGCCTCGATGCGCTCGTACCTCGGCGGGCGCTTGGGGCATCTCGCAGTTCTCCTTGCACTCTCTCTCTCGTATGCTTGGGCCCGGGCAGTGCCTCCATCCTGGCGTTCTCCTCAGGGCTGCTTTCGGCCATATCGTTGGAAACGGCCAAGTTGTAGTCATCGTCAAGCATGCCGTCCATGTCGTCGGCCAGGGCATTCTTCTGGGCCTTCCTCTTGGAAGAGATCATCCGGTTCTTCTCCTCCCTCAAGGAGTGCCGCAGGACGTCGGTCATGTGATCGACAGCCTCAGTCAAGCTGGGCTGAGCGTGCTTCTCCGGGTTCGTCAAGGCCACCTTGTGGTGGTTGGCCAAGGTCAGAGTGGCCTTCACGATGAAGGGGGTCAGCATCTTGTGCCCGGCTTCCTGCTGGACCTCCATGGGAACTTCATCGCCCTCTTCGTCCACCGTCATCGTGGTCTTGGGCACCTTGTCCGGGCGCTTCTCGCGGTGGAAGTGTGGGGACACCTGCAAATGGACCTGCCCGGGGGGGAGTGCTCGGACGAGCAGCAAAAAAAACACACCCTGGGACCCAGTACTTAGGCTTCAGCTTCGCTCCAGGCTCCCTATTTGTCTCCCGATGCCTCCACATGCCGGATCAGGTCCTCGAAGTTTTCGAAGGCACCCACCAGCTTCTCCTCGATGAACTTCCTCGCATTGCTCTCCTCGTGGAGGTGCTTGTGCTGCGGGAGCTGGGTGACGATGTGCATGGAGTAGGGCACCCTCTTCTCGGGCATCTCCGGCTTGGCCTCCTCCTCTGCCTCCTCCTCCTCCAGGGGAATCTCCACCACCCCCCCCAGCTTGTCCTGAACAGAAAAGCGATAAGAGAGCTATGGAGCTACGAGGAGGAGCAGATGGAGACCCCTTTGTCCTTGTTTCGGATGTTGCCGTGCATCTGCTTCCGGTTAAGGCCGCCCCCTGCTGGCGCGGTGTAAGACTGGCCAGGAGCAAGGCTCCAAAGGGCGGCCGCCTCGCATCGAAGCAACTCCGATCCAAGCGCGAACAAAATCCCCTGTCATTTGAGACAGACGAGAGTGCAATAGTGCGAGCCCGGCTACCAGGATTGCCAGCGCGGCCACGGATCGCTTGGGCGAGGTGCGGGTCATTGCTGGAGCCTCGGAAGCTTGAACTGGGCTCCACTTACGAAGAACTCGTGGGAGCATCAGAGCGCGGGACAGGAGTCCGAAGGGACAGGAGGCCGTAAGAGGCTAGGACACTGGGATCCAAATGGCTGCGAACCATCAAGTGCCCTCTCCCTCTCCTTCGCATTCTCTCTCTCCCTCTCGCGTCTGCCACTTCAGGAACTTTGGACAACCTGCTTCTAAGACAGAGTCTGTGGCCTCCCGAGCCAGCATCTCGAGGGAAGGCGGATCAATTCCCTTCTGGTTGATGACGACGAAAGTCCTGCCGTTCTCCTGCCACACGGCGCAGTGAGAAGCGCATCCTGAAGACGGAACTCAAGCTTTGCGGGCCATCCTCGGTGCAGACTTTCCGCTTCAGCTCCTGAAGAAGCAGACAGCGCAGACGATGATGTCAAGGCAGGTTGCCAGAATCCCGCAGCCCAAAATGATCATCAGCAAGAGCACAGTCTTCTAGCCGAACGAACTCCAGAGGAGCAGCACGACATCGCTGCTGCGCAACTCAAGAATGACTTGTGGGCCATCAACAGATCCAAAAGAAACAGGAGCTGACTGACCATGCAGTCAAGGAACGATGATTTTCTTCACCTTCTCGTCTGTGAACTTCCGCTCGGAACTGGCAAGACCACATGGCTCCAGGCCGGTAGGCACTCTGTCACTCACACCGAGGCGGCGACGGACGGACGGACGACGAGTCGCTTCTGACAGGCAGCTACATCCAAGGCGTGGCAGCGTCGCTCGACCAACTTCTCACGCTGCTCTGAGCTGCTGTAGAAGAAGCCGGCGTTCACCTTCGCGAGTCGAGATCGCCCGCAAACCAAGCGCAACGCCTCCGAATCCAAAGAGATCGCGTCTTTTCCTCTTTCGCGGCCTCGCTCTTCTCGTACTCCAGGGAGACGTTACACGTCAAAATGTAGCCTCGGCGGCGGCTTTCTGGAGCCGACGGCTTCCGGCGCTTCGGATTTCTTGAGGGCCCCGGGGGCCCCAGCGCTTTTGCGCATGTCGTGCGGTCACGGAAGGATGGTGAGATGATCGGGCCAACGATGCACAGTTCGGCCACCCTGAATCTCACATCTCAAATGTTAAAGCTTTACATGCTGCTGCTGAGACCGAGTACCGCAAGACTTGGTGTACAGCCCTCCCCATTCCAGGAAAGTCCCGTGCAGGCGTCTGCAGCCCACCCAAGTAACACCGATTTAGATTGAGGGTGTATCGCTTGGGGTTTTGGGAAAGTTGAACTCTTGCATCTTGCACCTGAGGACCTGGCAGTTCTCCAGCTTCTTCGGCATGTCCTCGGCTCTGCTTTAATCTGCACATTTGCCGCGACGACTTCACCCATGATAGCAATGCTATAGTTACTCTGGACACTGGCGTCTGTAGTCATGCAAGACAAACTCATTATCCCCAGTGGTGGCGGTAGCGCTGATTGTGGTCGTGGGTGGCACTGGTGGCAGCAGCAGCAGCAGCAGCAGCAGCAGGAGCAGGAGGAGGAGAAGTGCAGCAGTAGCAGCAGCAGCAGCAGCAGCAGCAATAGTAGTGGTGGTGACTGGTGCCCGTCCTGGTATGACCGAAACCACCACCACACCAACTATGGCGGCACTGATGATTGCAACTTGCACACGTCCTTCACGAAGGCACTGACTATACTTGACTGTGGTACTGGCGCTGCCATGTTTATGACTGCTCTTGGAAAAAGGATCATCTCAGACATGGTTGCTCCCTTTTTTGCGACTTCATGACAGTTACTACTATTTCTTGCCATTAGCATTTACGATCGCCAGAGACTGGGACCCCAGCCGGATGTCGGGCGCCGTGGTCCAAAACGAGGCCCTTGATGAGCCGGGTCTCCGTTATGAGCTTGTTCCTGACACAAGAAAAACGCAACCAAATCACAGCACTATCGTAATAGTGGGAATACACACGGCAAGACAAGCGGCGGCCACAAGAACAGAGTGGCTAGCGATGCACAGTAAGAACAAGAACCGTGACCGCAACAATACTACATAAAGAAACTCACGGCAAGAGCGGCAACATCCGTCGTGCTGACAACGACGACAGCGAATATCGTCAATACACTGACTATAACCCTGCCCCTGTTCCGCAGAGCCGGAACGCGACAAGCTCACAGCAGACAAAGGCTTAGCACTGCGATGATGCAGATGCTCGGGCGCACTTCATGTGAAGAATCTCCACCATGTTGAGATCGAGCGGGGATCCCTGCTTCTTGATCATGCGCACCTCGGCGCGGCCCCCGATCAACAATCGGAAGACAGGCAAAGGGGGTCTACCCACATGCCGTTCTGAAACTCCGAAGCCCGAGTTTTGGAGAAGGCGCACTATGAGTTTGGGAGAGTATCCAGGGGAATGCCCAACCAGTTCAGCCCGGCATGATCAGCAGCCTGGGGAACGAATCTAAAGTTCCCGCAATGGGCACTTGATGTACGACCTTGGCAAAAACTTGAAATTCGAAGATGCAGGCGAATGCCCGACCAGCGCACCATGCAGAACGCTTGTAACGCAAAAAAATTATGAAGCTCCCGTATATGACAAAGGAGTAGGCATGATGGTGATGACGACAACACCAAGAACGATGATAATAATCATGGTGATGATGGCGGCGATGGCAGTCATGGTGATAGAGGGCATGGAGGTCATGGGGCGATGGTGACGAGGCTGGTGCTGATGATAATGGTGGTGACTTCCCTTCTTGTTTCTGGTTAGGTATGCCACTCTCACCTTCCCGTCACGGCACAGAATCGACCACAACCTCCGCCATGGGATCTGCGAGGGCCGGGACGATCTTGGTCCTGGACAGATTTCGGACTGCATTGGGGTGGGTAGGTGGAGGGGCTGATCCGGAAAATCCGTTGAAGCAGCTCAGTGCCCAGTGCATCAATTCTCAGGCTGCAGTCAGTAGTAGCAGTAGTAGTACTAGTGGTAGTAGTAGTCGTAGTAGTAGTAGTAGTAGTAGTAGTAGTAGTAGTAGTAGTAGTAGTGGTAGTAGCAGTAGGAAACAGGCGAAGCAACAAGCGGGATTCGAAGACCAGCCTCAGGGAGGTTCTCGCTACACAGACGAGCTTCTCTCGATCGCTGAGAGGGTCATCCATGTGGACCTGCGGCTACGTGTGAGTTCTGCAAGAAAATCAAAGCAGGAATACAGATGATGACAACAAGGAATCACCCTATCCCAGAGGTAGCAACAGAAAAAGGATGGTGCATTGCTTTCAACATTATAAACATGAACATCATCAACAACAACAACAGACAAATGATGATGCTCTCCATCACCTGCTTCAACAGCAACATCACTATCATAGTCGTAGTCATCGTCAGCGGCGTCATCGCTTCATTCTCACCTTCATACTGGTAGCAATCTTTATCCTCACCATGACCGTTCTGGTCACCACGTTCATGCTCAGTGCCTTCAACGTCAACTTAACGCTCGGATGTGTCGGGCCGTCCACACGCGAAGACAAAAACTAGCGATACTGATGCGAGGTCTAGATCTGATGATTCTTCTTTACACCAGCATGATTCACGGTGCTGATGTCCACATTCGCAAACCTGAAAATGGGAATGTCGATGCTGATACCGATACCGATACCGCAACCGACACCAACCTTGACACCCAGCAGAATAATGCAAGGGAACATTGGAGATCATGAGGCAGCTTTGGTAAGGATAAAGACCGAGCAGAATGCCTTCTCTGAGCTTTCGCTTACAACGACTGGCACAGCATCTCACGGCCATCCAGAAGCCTGAACCGGCCAATAACCCGAAGCTTCCACTGCCCCCTGGAAAGTAAGGGCCTTGAAGGAGTCCAGAAACTTCACTGTCTCCTCACGGGCCAGCTCGAAGCCCTGAGAGCGCTGCAAAAGAGCGCATGAGGGCTTCAGGGGTCGGATCCTCTCAGGATAGAAGGGGTGTTAGGCCTAGGTCTACCTGAAGCCAGCATCTGTCAGGACAGATGCCCTGACCGTTCGAAATACAACTCAGATGCTTCATGTTCTTGTTGCTGTCGGCATTGTTTCTTGAGCTGCCGTCTCGAACCTGCTGCACACATGTTTGGCTTTTGCCTGTGTGTGCAGTGTCCTGATTCTCCTGAAAATTGCGTATGCATTCCCTGTCTCATTTGTAGCCGTTGTCGATGAAGCTGTTGAGCTTTGTGGCTTCTGCTGTATGATCACTCTTCTTGCTGTCTTGATTGCAGTGGAAAAAAACTACTCTCGACTTAGCAACCCCAAGCTCCAAACCCAAAAGCCAGCCCAAGCAGTACAATCCAAAGCGCCTCTGCGATGAGCCTCGGGTGGAGTCCTTCAGCTAGGCTCTGTTCAGCCAATTTCATCAGCTCGCCGATGAACATCACACTGGGGCCAGGTCGCGTTTTATTGCGAGGGGAGGAGGCATTCGGGTATGGGGTTTTGGGGCGTGAATACGTTTTTACTGGAGTCCGAAGTCAGCGCAGGAACTTGGTGCTTCAAGGTGGTCCAAGCAGCCTGCGCTTCGTGTTCATGGCCCGCGTCTGAATAGCCCCGATACATGCACCGAAGACAATTTCAGGCGACATGATCTCATGCCAGGAACCTAGATGTTGTTCCATCACCGGTGAACTCGTCCTGGCAGGACTTGCAAAAGCAACAGAGGCAACATCTGCTGCGGTGCGGCTGCTCGCCAACCTGCTCATGTGCAGAAGATGGCAGTTTCTTGCTGTGCTCAGTCCTGAGCACTCGCAGCTCTGGCGATCATGGAGGCCGTCGGATGCTGAATTTGCATCTCGCCGAGCAGAACTGACCCATCCTGCCACTGAGAGTCTGTAACGATTTATGTCAAGCTTGCTAAACCTACGTCGTTGCCCGTTGAGTGTCATCTTTGTTCACATCGTGGCGCGGAGACTGGTACAACATGATCACAACCTGCCATCTTGGAAATACTGAAAGCAACTGCCACCACGATACGACTATGACAACACGACTACGACTACGACTGCATCTAAGACAACGATTGCGACTACTACTACTCCTGCTCTTGCTGCGGCTGTTGCTACCGACTCGTCCTACTGTCGACATCATCATCGCAGTCAGCCCCATCACAGTTGCTGCTGCCGCTGCAGGTTGCCATTAGCACTGAGCTGTTAAAACTTAACCTTCCTAATGCCGATACCATCTGCGCTCACCATAATCAGTGATTTGACTCTCATTGTGCCCACGAATATCGCTGTTCCTCAGATGAATTCCTGTGTTATGAGTCCTCCTTGCCTGCTCTGTTGCAAAAACACTCCCGCCAGTATCGCCATAACCTCTACTCCACCATTGATAAGACATGTACCAACACTGCCGTTCTCTCTCCCATTCGCATGACCATGACCACTGCCATCACCAGTACCATTGTAACTGCCTTTGCCAGCACCATCTTCAATTGCATCTTTATCACTTGCATGACCAACACATGATCACAGTACTCAATCACCTTCGGTTTCTTCATCGTCGTCACCAGTGCCAAGATCATGTCAACAATTGTAATCATACTTCATGCTGAATATCTTTATCAGAACCATCATCTACCTCGCACTTCATCTTGTCTGTGGTCCTCACCTTCACCACATTTACTCCACTAATTGTTTAGGCCAATCATCCTCTTCATCCTCTGCATCTTCTAAATCATGGACATCATTTAACGAACCTTCGCAACCATCTTGATATCATGATCATCGCTATCTTCATGCTGGTATTTCGGTCCATCGTGATCATCAGTTTCATCCGAACCATTCCCACCAGCACGAGCAGCAAAACCAGGAATGCACTGCACTCCAATCCTTGGTGATCTTGATCTGTCCAGCGCCGCCCACCAACATCTTCAGAGTCCCTGGGTTCAAGGGTTCGCTCGGAACTCCAGCTTCGAACCCTCTGCGAAGCCTGAACGAACTCCGAAAACAACACACAAAGCTTTCCCGCTCCTCGAGGTCCCAGGTTGGACTTCATCACCTGGCAGCATGGTGATGTAAAGAGCGCTCGGTGCTTTGAGGTTTGCTTTAGAACTTTGGGAAAGGATGAGATACTCAGCAGCTTGTGCAGCAACCGCAATTGGTGGCACTTCTGCAGGAGCCTCTTGCAGCCCTTTCGCTGCATTGAGGTTGACGGCCAGGGCCTGGGAAGCCTGGCGTGCAGAGGAGTCAACTGGAGAGATGCACGTTCCTCGCGACTCCACCGGTCTGGCCTTGAGGACGTCTGCTTTCGAGTTGACCACCGTCACCATGTTTGCAGCGGGTACCTTGGGCAAGCATAGCGTAGGAAAAGGTTAAAGGCGATGGGGCCCACCACCAGCCTGCTCAAGCGGCCACTCCGAACCGCGAGCGACCCAAAAAGCCCGCTGACGCTTGGAGCCAAGGTCGAAGCGGATCCAGGTGAAACCTCCTGACTGCCTCTTCAGATCGTAGTGGAAGCAATCGTAGTAGTACTCGTCGTCGTGGTGGTGGTAGTCGTCGTAGCAATAGAAGAAGAAGGAGTAACAGTAATAGTAGTAGTCGTGTTAGCAGTAGCAGTAGCGGTAGCAGTAAACATAACATTAGCGGTAGCGGTAGTAATGGCGGTATCGATATCGGTATTCGTACTGGCATTGGTATTGGCATCAGTCTCTCTGTCAGTATCAGTATGAGTGTGAGCATTAGCATTTGCACTAGCATTAGCATTTGCATTTGCATTCGCATTCGCATTAGTATTAATGTTCGTATTAGTCTTAATCTTATTCTTTGTCCTGGTTTTAGTCTAAGCCTTGGTGTTAGTGGTAGCATGAGGTACTAGTATTAGTATTAGTATTGGTATTTCTATTGCGTGGGGATTTGATCTCAATGATGTTGCTGCTCTCCCCACCAGAGCTGTAATGAATATAGGTGTGGCTGGCTTGCACTCTCCACAGACTGGGACCCTGTCTCTCTCACACTTCCACACGTGCAATCCTATGCAGGCAGAACCGGCGGCCGTTCCTTTTTCACTCGCTGCCGGCGGCGGTTCGTCTGTGCACGGGATAGCTCTGATTGCTCAGGATAGAAGACACATATAGCACTTAGCTATGGGCATTGACTTGAGCCAAACGTTGCGTGGGCGGTCACATAGAAAGGTAAGGAGAAGCGATGCGGTGTGCGTAGCACGTCCACAAGCTTACTCCTAGAGTCGAGGGACGCGTAGCGTGCCCCCTTCTCTTGCACTTTACACGGTCTTGCTCACAGCTCTTATAGTGACACCTTAGAACTTGACAAGGCATCGCAGTCCGTTCGCACCCCCCATGAGTTGCGTCTCCGACGCTGCTCACCCGGAAGATGGCACGATAGGACAACAGAAAATGTTCCGCCGCAACGTTGACATTGAAAATCAGAGCCTTGCATCCCAATTAGAAACGTTGTGACACTCATCTACGTCAGTAACGACCCCCTGAAATGGCAAACGAATCAGGCGTCACCGAAGAAAGAAGCATTCGCGATGGAATTCCACGGGCGAAGCACAGAGGTCACAATCTGGAAGATGAGGTAGATCATGTGTTGTCTCACCGCCATCTCCGCGTTGACGTAGTATCGCGGTTCCAAGGCCGGAGGCTCTCCTCTGGATACTGGTCCCTTTGCTTTCCTTTGTCCTTGCCTTTATTTCGGCCTTTAACGGCGATGTAGTCGTGGTAGGAATTGGCATTCCAGCCACCATGTTGCTCATCTCCGGTCCTTTCACGCCCTTTTGAAGGTCCCTTGGCCGAAGAAGCGCTTGCACGTTCCTCCGTAGTAACAGGCGTGTCCATGATGGAAGTACCACCTGGAGGGAGATACTCAGCGGCCGAGATGTGATGTAGGGCTTCAGTACGTTTGGTTGTCGGATTTTGCTGTCTCTCAGCCTTGGATCTGACCAATCTGTCCATGAAATGCGCAGGCATTTGCACATTGTGGTCCACCAGCAATCCAATGGTCTGGACTGAATGATCGGCATGAGTCAGCAGGATACCGACGGGGTCGATGTACAGGAAGTCCACCGGTCCAGTTGGCGTTGGTCGTAGCACTGAGAATTGTTGGTGTCCTGTCACCATCGGAATCACCTCGCACAGGACGTTCAGGCAACAGAAGTGCATAGCCTTCACATCTTCATCCCTGTTGCTCTTCAAGTACGTAGTAGGGTTGAAGTTGTCCCTGCCAATTCCCATCATGTTGGCTCCCCGTGTAAGCAACGAAAGCATCTGATTCGTCCGGAAGCGCTTCAAAGTGTAAGTCCCGTTGGGATCGTACTGCTTGAGGTTCTCAGGCTCCTTGGCAAAGCGAATGATCTCCTCGTCAGTCACATCCCTGCTCACACCCGTTTCTCTGTCCACTCCAGCCAAAGATCCCCACTTTCCGAGCACATCATAGCGTTGGCCAAGTGCGAAATTCTCCCTCATCTGGAACAACGGCATAGTCGCCCACTTCGCGAATCCTGACCAAGCCTTGTAGATGGTTCTGCACACCACGAATGCCATATACGAAAGAGCGGCCATGTTGGCGTCAATGCAATGGGCATTTCGCTTTCCTGGGTAGTAGGATGGCTGCATGGCGGTACGTGCGAGTTGTAGTTCAGGATCGATGTTCAAAGACTGGCCGGCGATGAGGACGGGACGTCGTTCCTGTGCAACTGCATCTGGTACTGCGTCATCAAAGTCCTCTCCTGGCTCTGTGTCCATTTCTTCATCAGGTTCCTGTTCTGGATCGTCCTCCGCGACGACAGATGGCTCTGGGATTTCCTCAGGTTCCGCAACGGTCTCTGTCTCCATGGCTTCCTGCTCCTCGACGGTCGCCTCAGGCACTGCTGCTGCCGCAGCTTCCATTGTCTGAGCAATGAAGTCACTGGGGATCTCCGTAGGAGTCTCCCGTTGTGGAGTACCTTGGTAGTATCCGCAAGAAACGAATTGTGACCAGCAGGACGTGCATCGGGAGAAGCATGCTGGAACGATGTTGTAGCATGCCGGGCACACCCTCATTCTCCTTCCATCCTCGTCTCTGCGTAGGTCTTCGGGTCGCCAATTCTTGATGACAAACTTGATCCCTTTGTCCATGTAGTGATGCCGAACCGTGTTCTCCCTGTGGGACTCCAGGACAGTCGTAAGGTCTCGCATGATCTGCTCCTTGCTGGTGTCGTGGGGTCCAGGAGGCATCTCGCAAAGCAATTCCATGATCTTGCTTGGTGTTCGGTATCTCTCGAATTCAGGGAGCAAAGGTGATGCATAGTAGTCCAACACCATCTCTTTCTCCAATCGTTCATCGTAGATCTTTTCCACCAGAGCGAAAGAGTGTGTATCTTGAGGATTCGGGACGCAAAACCATACCTCCTTGACGAACTGGAACGGTATCGTTCGGCCAACGATGATGATGCCGCTGTCTGTGATACGTCCATCTTCTCGTGCAAGGTCCTGCGAAGGGACATGGAGGACCGCCAGCGGCATGTGCTTGGCTTGTGGTCCATGTACCCGCATCTTGGTCGTCGCATTCCGGTGATCGAACGGTGCGAATACCCCCCAATAGCTGTGGAGTCTGCCGCCTTGGTTGCCTCGAAATTGGCGCCTATGGTCGAAGTCCCCGTCGGGGTCCTCCGAACCAGGCATGATGCCTTGCGTGACAATGGAATCCAGTTGCGGCATGCCGTAGCGTGGAACGCGCCTCCAAGACGTTGCAAGAGGGTCATAGATGGAGATATTGCGAACCTGTTCTTGTCCAACTGAAGCAAATTGTTCTGGGGATCGGAGTGCGCAGAGTGACCACTCGTAGCCCGAACTGCCCATGGCTTCACCCAGCCGTTGCAAACGTTCAGGTACCTCTGGCTGTGCCGGCAACGATCATTGTTCTGGATCTCTGTGATCTGGTCAGGAATCGATACCAACATGTTCGAGCCTGCGGATCCAAGAGTCTCCGTGCCGGGGTCCTTCACTCTCACTCCCAGGAACTGCAGCCGAATCTTGGCCTTGTGGCGTCTCGTGGCTGCGAGCATGTTCCCTTGGAACAATAGCTGGAGTCTTTCATTGTACACTCTCTTCCTCTGTTGATCATCGGTCCTTGAGACCGCTTCGGTGATGCGTCTGCTGTCATGGGTCCATAGTTGCTCATGCCTCACCAAATCTCGATCAGCACCCACCCTCCTTCATCACATCGAATGACGCTGCTGAATGCCACTTGGCACCTGTTGTCAAGCCATTCCGAGCCTGGGCGCCTGGCGATTCTGTGACGCAGGTCAGATTGAATGCATGATAGCGCCCAATCCGCGTTCCTTCTTCGATGATGGGTGATGTTGCGAAGGACAACTTCGTTCACGAGGTCCCATCGATTGTGGATGAAGCTTGCACCCTTGGTTGGGATCAGGTCGAGAATCCCGCATCGGATTGGCCTTCCGCCGCCGATGGATTCGTAGCCTGCATTGGTGTAGCCCTGAATAGTATCATCATATTCAAAGCTAGGACGGTCTCCTCGTTGAGGTAGGCGTCGGTCGCGATGGTCCGAAAGCTGCTCAATGAGGTCCACCACCCGCTGACTGTTCTCTGGTCCCATGTCCTGCAGCGGCACACCACAAGCATCATGTAAGCCCCGACGGTTCTCCACATCCGTGCAGAGATTGTGTTTGTTCTCGTAACGGATCAAGACCACATCACCCCGTACGGCTTCGCCTCCGCGTCGCGGTCGGGCTTTGGCCTTGGGTCGTCGGTCCGAGGATGCAACACTCACATGGTCTGTGGTGTCAACGTCCATTGGCTCATCTTGTTGTGGCGGTATTCGACGTGGATATCGAAGAAGGCTTTCCTTGATGATCTGGATGCTCCGAAGTATCAGATCCCGGGTCGCAGCATTTTCCGTGCAATTGGACAGATGGTGTTGATCACTGCCACAAGCGATACAGAACGTGAGGCTATTGCTTCCGACCGACATTTCGCCCTGAGCAAGTATTCCCACATAGTCCTGAAGCTGCGCGACAAATCCTTCACGAATCATCTGCCTGGGATCAGGGTCTTCTGCACCTTGTTCTTCTTCGGGTTGTGCATCCACATCTACATCCTGTGCAGGTATTGGTGGAGCAACAGAGACCCCTGGATCGTCCGTGACGTTGTCAGCGGCCTGTGTCTCGTCGGTCCTTGCAATCTCTACGGGGTAGATATCGCCATCGACGATCACTGTGAAGTCAATCACGAGGTCAGCGGACATGTTGTTGACGATCTCAGCGACTTGTTCATTCTTCTTGGGCGGTGTCCTCTTGCGTGGGGAGTCA